CCCCCTCCCCTTTATCAGTAAAAGTTTTGGTTTTCAGGATTTTTTTCGCCCAAACGGTTGCTGAGCCCCATACTAAAAAGAATAAAAAATGTTAAGCCCCTCTGGACAAATTCCTGAATTCGCCCCTGAACTGAACCATTTTAAGAGACTATCATTAAGACCCAATTTTAAGTAAATTATCATGAATAATATATAATAAATATATAGTATACTAGTTTGGGAACCCAGGTTACTAAAAGTTACTCCTCCGTTTAACCGAACTTGTAAGATTTGACATGGAAACTAAATTTTCTCTATTGAAGTCGACCAACTCAAATTAGAATCTCAAAATCAAGCTAAGAACATCTCCAGAGTTCCCCTCTAAAATTTCAGGCAAATTGGTCAAGGGGTTCCTGAGTTATGATCGGACAAACAAACAGACAGACAAACAGAGATTTTAACTTTATATATATATAGATAATAATAGTGAGAGTTGGTCATAAATCAATCAATCAAACACAAGCACATGAGTTCACCTCATCCAAAGTAACTTTTCCTCTAGCTGTTTTCCTAGTTTTATCTACTCGCATCATTCCAGGGATAAAATTCTAGATTAAGAAAACAATTGTTAATGTTAATTGGTATTCCATCCAGAAAAAATGCCAGTACGAGTTAGGAGTTTCGTTGATCTCGATATTCTATGTGGGCACTTCAAATTTAAGGTGTGATCATTTCATTTCAGGTTTTCATTCAGGGTAAGATTGCCACGAGAGATATATACACGCTTTATCCTGAGATTCACAACACAATAGTTCCGATCTCAGCAGTCGGGTCTTTTTTAATGAGAACTAAATCCCGTCAATTTTCCGTCTTATCTCTGCTAGAGCTGCATATATATACCAATCAGTAGTACAGAGAAACCACGATAGAAAACTCTCTATTCTCGGATAGAAAACTTTCTATTCTCGGATGGAAAACTCACTATTCTCGGATAGAAAACTCTCTATTCTTGGATAGAAAACTCTCTATTCTCGGATGGAAAACTCTCTATTCTCGGATAGAAAACTCTCTATTCTCGGATAGAAAACTCTCTATTCTCGGATAGAAAACTCTCTATTCTCGCATAGAAAACTCTCTATTCTCAGATGGAAAAACAACGATATCATTTATACATACTGAGACAAGATCCGTAGTGAATTGGACTTATTAAATTATCAGATGGAAGTACGTAGAGCGTTCCTTATAATTCAGAGATTAAGAAAACCAGAATATTTCATATCTTACATCTTGGTAGCGAACTCTGTCAAGGGGTAGAGGTCGCTGCTGACTCTGTTGAGGTGGATCGTTCAAGTGTTGGTCTTCCGACTTGACATAAACATCTTGAAGCATCGAGTGCAACTGAGAATCCTTCCTGGGGAAAACAGAAACAATTGATAAAATGCGCGCTAGTAGATCTCCTTGGATCTTTTAAACAAAACCTAACTGAACTAAAATCTAAAGATTGAAGTTAAGGATTTTTTAACCCTTCCAAATAATATTCCAGGGGTGTATATTTTCCTGAAAATCTATCCTTCCCAAAAGTATTTTTAAAAGTTTTATTGGTTGAATTTGGAATAATAAATAAATTTTTGAGTAAAAAATATGAAAAAGGATGATAAAAACTTGCCCTTTCATGTCCAATTTCTTCCCCCCCCCCCGATCTTCAAAAATAAACGCCTCTGGGATATTCAAAATTACATTCCCCTTATATACGGGTGAATATTATTAGATGTTACCTATGTGTCGAATCTGCTAAAGTTGGGTTGGATTTTCGGATATTCTCTAAACAAATCACCAAATAAATTATGAAAGTTTAGTGACCAACAATAAAGATTTTCTTGCATCCCCACCCCCACCCCTTTAGCCAAAGTTAAGCTTAGATTTTTTTTAGAAAACAAGTATTAAAGTTTTTCTATTCTTACTATGACCAGGTTTGCTCAGACAAAGGTTTAAAGAATACCACTTACATAGGTCATATCAGTCACTTAATAGGACATATCCGCTTCTAATTAGTCACTTAAAATTACTTAAACAATCCTTTTTTTAGTTCAATTTATCGTGGAGTACTGTTTACCTAGGAGTTCCTTGTCTGAATGAAACATTGGTGCTCTCAGAGCTGGTCCAGCAGGATCTTCAATACGGGAAATCTCTTTAGCAGCCCGGTGTTCAACATTATACCTACACAGCTTATCATCAGAAGTGGAAACATTTGTAATCTTGTGATTTTGTAATTTGACCCCCCCCCCCTGAACATGAGAAGATATTTTTATATAATATCAGAATAAGTACAAGATAAGGAACTAACTCAAATCAATTTGGGAAGAAAAAGAAACTAACCATGACAGTTAATAATCAACCCTTCAAAACTTACTTCCGTTAAAAATTATGCCATTTAGCTCCAGAGAGACAAATTCCAGATAAAACAGATTAAGGAGAAACAATCCACGCTCCCCAGTGAAAAAATTCCCAGTGAAAATGTTCGACACATAACTTAAGAAGCATAAGGCTAACTCAAATACTAAATTTAAACATTTTGAAATATCTTACTTTATTTTACTGTTTCTTTTATTTGCATTTTTCGAAAAATTTTCAGCCAAGCTGCAATCTTTAATATTTATGTACTTTATCATTTAAAAAAATCAACAGTGTTATAACAAAGGTTTACCGTTTTTTTTACAATTTTAGTTTTTTCTTGGGAAACAAATAAAAAAAGAACAAAACACGTTTATTTTTAAGCCTTTATGAGACCCCTCTTGAAGCAAGATTGTTTGGACGTGACTCTAATGTAGATGTTATTATGTAATGTAATGAATGTCATGGCAAAACGTTCATGTTAAAAATAATTTAAGGCGGGATTCGTTTTCTCTTTGATCCTGCTTAGGGAACAATGCCATTACAATTAAAGTTTTTAATTTAAAAAAAGATGCCTATTATGTTAAGCTTGAATTATAAATAAAAAATGTTTAATATCTTTAAGACAGCTGCCAAATCCATTTAACTTTACAAACTACAGGATAAGTACAAAAAGGGTGAATAGCGATTTCTTCATATCCAATGGACTCTTAAAAGAATCCGCTGAACTATTTTTACTCCAAATTAGATGAGTAGAAAAAAAGTGCAGGAATATATTGTTTCTTTCACACTTCTTAATCTTAAACCAAATCAAAAAACTTAAAAAGTTCTATATTATATGCAGGATCTCACTATTCACCCTTTTTTTTGGACCCACCCTGTTTGTTTTTGAATAAATTCACCGTTGAAGGGGTCTTTTAATAATAGTTCCGTACACTCTTGAAAGTTGTTGACCCATTTTTAGACCGAGGCGTCAAACCATTTTATTTCTGAAAGAAATCAATTTAGGATAAATACGACAGAATTTATTTAACGGAAAACTTGCATAAAATAATTTCATTTCATATTTTTAAATATATTTTTTACACACAGAATCATCACACGCTTTCTGTAGGATTTACAGCGCAAAGAATTTTTTGAAAAATATCATTGCTTTTGGATTAATAAATAATGATCTGAATATATCTCCTAAATGCTGGTTTAAAAAGTTTATGCATTGTGGAATTTACTGTTTTATAATAAATCATTTTTCGGGAATTTTTACGTTGAATTCTGTTCAATGAGCCTCCTCTTGCAAGTCGACCATGTGGCCGACGGAAGTTTCTAATGGCGGTGCTCATTGCTGTTGCAACAATGAAAACTGTTGGTGCAAAGGGCTGCAAACTTCTCTCGGAGCACCTCCCTAAATATTTATAAGTAAGGCAAATATGTCAAGTTGGGACTGAAGACCTAATTTCAAGTGACCTACATTTTATATGGTGGCAGCTACAAGGTGTTCCACGAAACATGAGAAAAGCAAGACGACTTGGAGGGTTGTCTTTGATCTTTGAAACAATTTGCGGCATTTATTCGTAAACCAAATAATTTAAGTTAAATTCTTGAGTTAAAACTTACAATTAAAATTTTGGATTTATTTAATAAATTGAAATCGGAATAAAATTCTGAATATCTCGGGTAATATTGACAACACAAATAAGGTAGACCACATTTTGGAAACTCCAGGCCCGGGAGAATTTAGTGATTATTGTTTCAAGAATGATACATGTCAAAGAAGGTTGACGTCTGAATGTCTCAAATAAGGTCAAACATCTTTTCTTCTTATCCACTTTATTAGAAATATGTAAAAATTATTATGAACGATATTATTTAAAATTGTATGATATTATTTAAAGCTACTTTTCGCAGCACTCTCCGAAAAATGTTATGGTAAAATTATGTGCAATAACGTTTTCAGCAAACAAACAAACTTTTCGTCTTTAAATAGAATATGAATGGCTTAAAAATTTCGACTTTACATCTACAGGGTGGCCAAAACTTTTTTGAACCCATCCGTACAAAAATCCGTACATTTTCAGAAGAAATCCGTACAATCCGTACAATTTTCGAAAACAATCCGTACAATCCGTACAATTTTTTTAAAAAAAATCCGTACAATCCGTACATTTTGGCCACCCTGCATCTATATAAAAAAAGACGGAGTGGATTTTAAAAAAATAGACAAGCAATTTAAATTTAAATCAGAAAAATTAAAGAAAATTTTAGATTTAAGTTAGGCTTAACATTTTAAAAAGAAAATAAACTTCAGATATCAAAGACGACTTTCAAATCGTATTCCTACTGTGATGTTTCGTGAGACAACCTGTATAAAAATAAGGACATTTCAATGATCCTTAATTAGAAGAAGGTTTTTACATATTTCTTTCTACAACTGGAGGATCCTTTAAATAAGGTAAAAAAAACCTTTTCTCCTTACTCTACCGACCTGGGCCCGTTTGTAACAAATCTTAAAATAAAGTAGTAATATCGGTTTCTCTCTCGATTTATCCGATCATAACTTGTAAACCCCTTGACCAATTTGTCTCAAAATGGGGAACTCGATAGATTCACTGGTATGTTCTTGGTTGGGTTTAACAATTCTAAATTGAGTAGGTTGACTTCATATTAGAAAATGAAAGTTTATTGACAAAGCTGGGTCATAGGGGAAGGCGACCCGCAACAGTTTTACCTCCGACCTACAGACGATGTCACATAACGGGATTTACGACCCTCACCCGTTTTGCCTTCCTTGTAAAGGCAATTATTTTAACAGTGGAAATTGTTTTTATTTCTTTAAAGGCAGCGTCATTCAGGCAGGTACGACTGGTTTTAACTAAACTTTTATAATTTTAAGATACACATTTTTATTGGATTTATAATAAATTTACTCTTTTATGATTATATCAACAAATTTTAATGAATCGCACGCCAAAATGCAAGATTTTATTTAAGAAATGATTGCTTCTTCGAGTTCCAAAACTTTTTTCAAGTAGATTATCGTTAGCCCGTATATACTTACATAGATTGATAGAGTAAATTGCAAAAAACCGCATTTACCTTATGAATACAAATGCGGGTCGAAAGACATACGAGTAAGTGACGTAAATAGTGCAATGCCACAAATACGATCTACACTAAAATGTTGTTTGATCAGAATTTTTAAAACTATCGCTTATTTCGATGGGGAAATGTGCTACTGATACAAACAAAAAATATGATGGATGCCACAACGTCTTCATAAATTTGAATTAATTCGTCGGATCTTAGTAAATGTTAGTTAAGAAACATATGAAATATTTTGATGTCCCATTGGAACATGAATGGAAAGTTCCGGTTTTACAAGAAATTTTAAATACAAGAATGAATAATTTATATGTTGAAGGATTCGATGATTACGTAATAACTGAAATGATAAATATGTTATGTAATGAGTAAAAATCAATGTTGTCTATTTGTGCATAATTTTGCATATTTTTCTCTTTTCTTTTGGAAACCTGTATTTTTAAAAATGTATTTAAACAAATTTGAACTACACTATTTATATATGTATTTATATCTTTGTGTGTGAATAAATTTTTATAATATTAATATTAAGAAATTTTGCCGAAGGCAAAACGGGTGTGAGATTGACTGCATTGGGTAAGGGCATGTCGCAAATCCCGTTATGTGACATAATCTGGGGGTCGGAGGTAAAACGGGTGCGGGTCGCCTTCCCCCCCCCCCCCTCGCTGGGTTCCCACGCTACAGACTAAGACTAATCTACCTAAGTTGTTCCCTCTGCTGGTTTACTTGTGGAAGATTGGACTGGAACCGTTCTATTTCCTCCGGAGATATTCCATACTCGTCCTCCTCTTCCTCATCCTCTAGTAGGTCCATGAGGCTCAGGTTCAACCCGTTTCCAACACCACCTGCGGACACTAGACCACCCGTCAACTTTTTATCACAGTTGGCGCCATTTTCTTTTTTGTTTCCGAGCTCGTGGAATCTGGCTCCTTGGCTTTGATTGAGTTTACAACATCCACTGTATGTTCCTGGAAGAATATATGTTTGGACAAAGTAAAAATTTAAAATAAATTTACCGAAAAGAGGCTGGCTAGGAAAAGTTTCTAGTTTTAAAATTGGGTCATTTTTAGTCGCAACGCTTTGGCCTTTGATTTTGCCTCACTAACTGATTTATACTTTTTTAGTAGCCTGTACAATTACATCAATTAAGATGCTCGCATTAAGAACACAAAATTAATTAATCCAAAGTAGTCTAAACACTTCAAGAACTATGAAAGCACTGGTTTAAAGCTTTAGTTATAATATTTAATAGACAAAATTCTCATGAGAGCTTGAAACCTTAGGATCAAAGCGAAACAAACCAACAAATTAATCTGTTTAAGACCCCCCCCCCCCCCTCCCCGGTGCCGCAGTTCCTTTTCAAAACTACAACGGTTGACCTAATGATGTGACTGTGTGCGTTCCAATTATCTATCTATCAGATAAGAAAATTAAGTGAGACATCTAGCGGCCAAACTATTGTAATTATGTCATTAGGACGGACCCCGTTCATACGTTCTTTTATAAGGAACGGCCTCCGGTTGTAAAATAAATCAATTATCTTTAAACATTTATATTTTCCTTGTGCAGGTTCCAGATCTGGAAGATGACCTTCATGCTCAAGGTCAGGAGATCCGCCCTTTATCCAGACTCCACCCTCAAACCTCCCGTCCTCCCTAGAGTAATATCAATTCATCAATACAGGAATTACATACACCCCTCCCCGCCTCTCTAGGGAGATCGATTTTTGATGAATCGGGGGAGAAAAATATGAAAAACTGAACTATCAGAAGGGAAGATTTGTAGTCCTTTTTTGAAACTTTTCTCCCAAAAATACAGCTGATTCCCCCCTAAAAATCTTTCATTTTCCTCCAATTCAGAGAAAAAAGACCTACGAGACCATCCCAAACTACTGGGGGGAAAATTACTAAGTACTAAAATACGATGCAACCCATCAAACTCTGGAATAGGGAGACGACAGTAAATTAGATTTTATTTTTTATTTTATAGAATTGTAATCAGTTAAACGTAACTTGAAGATAAACTAATTCAGTAAAATGTGTTTCATGTTTATTGGAATATGGAAACTCATACAGTCGTCTTCCTATTCCAATGTTATTAGTCGTACTGAAAATATAATATTTTTTAGTTATTTTAGAAAATACTTAATTATTATGAATATCCACATATATCTTTTAAACTAAAAGAACTTCAGACATAACATCCATTTATCATCCTCGAGAAGATTAAATGTATGGCAATATCTTTCTCATAATTGCTAGGATAACTGTAAACTGTAAACTGTAAACTACGTTGACAGTTCCTTTAGTTATTATTGTTACCTGGAATATATAGGACTAGTTTCACCACTATTCCCTGATCCCAGACCACTGTCACTATCGCTAACTATCTCAGAGCAAGGATGGGATCCTTGGGAGCAGACATTAGCCTCCTGGGAGCAAATATGAGGCTCGTGGGAGCAAACATCAGGCTCCTGGCAGCAAATATCAGGCTCATGGGAGCAAATATCAGGCTCGTGGGAGCAAGCACTAGTTAATCCATTCTTAGCAGGAACATCAACAGAGGTTCGGTCGTTTCCCTTAAACAAGCAGAGCTAAAATATCCAGGGATTTATATATTAATATTAAATGAACCTCGGATTGACCCCTAAATGACCCCTTAGTACCTTCAAATCTTTCTTTTTCTGCTGTTGTTTAGTTTTCTTCTCACGTTTCCGGGCTTGTCGTCTCTCCTTCTCTCTAAATATTTGATAAATACATTTATGGAGCTTTAAATAACCATTATCGACACTATGTTCAAATTGTTGAATGTTGGGTTTAGGACACTGAAGAGAAATTCGAAGATTTTTTTTTATATTTTCGCGGATTTCTTTAAACCTTAAGGAAAAAGCACTGAAAATATGATTATTTGGACCTATTTCTGTCAATGATTTTGTACGTTTGTCCTTTACACGTGGGTACTAAAATTACTTTGTAAGAATCCATTGAAAGCAGTGTAATGTGTAATGAATTCCGGGAAGGATGCGAGAGTGAAAGAGCAAAAGATTCCTGTTACAATTTAAAATAACAGTCCAATGATGAATGTGTAAAAAATCAACAAATCAAAGTGGGCTCTGGTCAAGGAAATGCTTTATGATCGAAACTTTGTCTGGTCAAGGAAATACTTTATGATCGAACCTTTGTCTGGTCAAGGAAATACTTTATAATCGAACCTTTGTCTGGTCAAGGAAATTCTTTATGATCGACTGGTCAAGGAAATACTTTATGATCGAAACTTTGACTGGTCAAGGAAATACTTTATGATCGAAACTTTGACTGGTCAAGGAAATACTTTATGATCGAAACTTTGCCTGGTCAAGGAAAAACTTTATGATCGAAACTTTGTCTGGTCAAGGAAGTACTTTATGATCGAACCTTTGTCTGGTCAAGGAAATACATTATGATCGAAACTTTGTCTGGTCAGGGAAATGCTTTATGATCGAACCTTTGTCTGGTCAAGGAAATACTTTATGATCGAACCTTTGTCTGGTCAAGGAAATGCTTATTTTTCTGGCTCTAAGTTAAGTGCCATACACTTTGAACGTGGGAATGAGGTAAAAGGTTGCAGTAAGCAATCAAAACCAATTTAAAAACACCAATCCTACTCTCCTTAGTTCTTATTGAAAATATCTTACTTGAGTTTCTGTTGAATTCTATGGAATCTGTTGAAAAGCGTAATCCCAATACAAATAAGAACTTCCTTCTGAGCTATCTCTATTGTTTTAGCATGTCTCTCCTGCTTCAAACCTAGAAGATAAAGAAATGAAAAATATATCTATGTAGAGGTAAGAGGAACGATCAAAATTCAAAGATATAGTTCATGCTTTGGAAACAAATATATCTTTACCCAGGGGTGTATATCAGGGAATAAGAATAAAGGGAAGGAAAATGGCGCTGGTCTGGTCTGAGAAAGCCAGTCGCGTTGCTTTGCAGACGAGTTCGTTACTAGTTATTACACACTCACACTCTTTTGGTACAGACACACAACATGACTACAGTCAAGGAAATTGCCAGAACAATGTCGTCAATTATAATAAAACTTGAACAACAAGTAGTTTATTGTAAACTTCAATCAAATTTTATTCTTTGCATGAAGTTCTCTCCTAGACTGTATAAATACCGAGAATCTTTTGTACTGTATATACCTACAGTACACGCCTTCGGTTCGGTATTACACACAATCTTTTGGTACAGACACACATACATGACGTGTCCTCCCCCTGGTGTATATTTTCTCGCAAAATCACACGAGGGGAGGAAGGCCAGCCACAACAATTTCTCGTCCGAGCCGTATTCTCATTTTCTCGTCCAAGCCACCTCGGAATCCTCGTCCTTTGATTGTTCTGTGTTTCAAAGTTTCCAATTCTCGAAGATAAAACTATTTTTTTGAAATCTGGCCACGTTAGGTCATAAACTATGAATGGACTAAAGTAATGCAATATTAATGCATTATGTTGGAATCTTCAAACCCGTGAGAATTATGTTAAACTTTAATTAGGTAAAACTTAAATCTCTTCTGCCTCCGTAATGACTAACCTTCGCGATATAAAATAAATAGAAGTTTTATGTTTTTTCCGCTAAATTGGGGAAATAAATTACCTTTAAGCTCGTCTTTTTGTCGTTTATTACATGTACAAGTGTTCTGAAATACACTATACAGAAGACTAAAAATTGACAAAATAAAAATAAAAATTCGCAGAATTTAAAACCGTAATTTCTATGAAAGGAAGTAGAAGTCTGATTTCTTATTTACCCGAGAGTTCAGGTTCAGCCAGTAGAAGTAGTTGAGATATAAAACCAGGATCACATTGAACATGAACATGCCCGTCCTGATTAAACATAAACATCAATAAAATAATAATATATTCAAGATTTATTTATTAAATTGTTGACACACATAAAAATACTGAATAAAAACGAAATACGGAATAAACAAGGAATAATTTTAAAATTATAATTATACATAAACGATCAAACCATCTACCAATTGCTGATCAAATTCATGACATCAATCAATCTAATAATTAACCAACTAAAATTAATATTTCAATCAACAAGTCTGTTAAATCATACATCAATCAATTAATCTACCATGAGTTAGTTAAATCAATCAATCAAATTCTAAATCAAACAATCATTCAATAGCAATTCAATCAATTCATTAACTAGTAGCAATGATTCAATCAACAAATCAATTAAACAATCATACATCAGACAGTTAATCTACCGTGAGTTACTTAATTAATCACTAAATCAATCTATAAATCAAACGATTAATCAATAGCAATAAAACAATCAACCAATTAACTAATATCAATGTTTCAATCAACAAATCAATTAAACAATCCTACATCAGACAGTTAATCTACCATGAGTTAGTTAAATCAATCAATCAAATTCTAAATAAAACATTCAATAGCAATTCAATCAATTAATTAACCAGTGGCCGAATTTAAAGAATTTAAGCGGCGGTTTAAATTTAAGCCGCGGTTTAAATATTGTTGGTTCCACTTAAAATTGTATCAAATGTTTCAAGATTTAAGCTGGCGCTTAATTTAAACCGGGTTTTTGCGGATTTAAACCCTGGCTTAAATTCTTTAAATTCCATCTCAGTAGCAATGATTCAATCAAAAATCAATTAAACAATCATACATCAGACAGTTAATCTACTATGAGTTAGTTAATAAATCACTAAATCAATCTATAAATCAAACAATCAATAGCAACAAATCATTTAAAACAATTATACCTCAGTCAGTTAATCTAATAAGTTGGTCAATCAACAAATTAACCCATCAATGAATGAAAGGATGATTAAATGAATGTATGAATGAATGAATGAATGAATGAATGAATGAATGAATGAATGAATCAACCAACCAATCAATCAGTCAATCAATCAATAATTCTATCAATCCACAAACAGGTAAATCTACCGGTTGGTAATTCTGCCGATTAATTCATCAATTATCTTACCTTAGTACAGGCGGATATACCGGAGAACAGGTTCACAGATCCGTCATCGTTCAGTTTCCTTCCATCCTCATCCGTATTATCCACCGCAGTCTTCTCACCAGCTGCTATAGCAGGCTCCTTTCCTTCTTCTATCAGCAGAGAAAACGCTCTAGAACATTCGATTATCAGCTGATGCGTTCTACTTCTAATAAAACCTTTTTTTGCAATTTCATTTGCTTTTACAACTTTTAAGAATAGTAACCACTAACCAGGGATTTAAAATTTCAAGAAGAGGGAATTTTTGGTCATCTGTAGGAAAAATAAAGAATTTAACCTCAAATGTAAGTTGTTTTTTTACTCACCATTTTGTTTCTTTTACCCAAAAAAAAGAGTTACAAAATGGATGGGTTGAAGTGATTTTTTAAGAAAATATACACCCCTGCACAGTGCACAATGCTGAAATTGGACCATCAGGTTTCAAGTCAAAACACCTAAATTTTTTCTTGGGAATATATTTATATGCAGTCTCCTTAGTTATAATATTAATTTTCAGGAAATGCCACCTGGGGAATTTCAAGTAAATCCATTTTAAAGAAATTGTAGAAACCAAGTGCATTTTCAGGTCTTAACTCAAATATGACCAATGATTAATCAAGCTTATTCTGTGTTTTTTTCCCTCGATATTTCTAGAATCATCAATGGCAGGGTCCCCAAATTTGTGAATTTTCCTTAACAGTCATAAGACATGTTTTAGCAAAAAATCATATGCTTAAGTTAGCTGTATAATTGTCTTTTTGAAGTAAAATCAGTAATAATTAAATTCAAATACATTTTCGGGTCGTATTTTGACAGTCAAGCAGTTAACTAAGGGGTTCGATTTCTTGCTACAAGATGTTTCATGACTGTTAAAGAAAAATCAATAATTTGGAGACCATGCCATGTATACTGTTAAAAAATGTCTTCAAAAAAACAGAAGAAGTAGATTAAAGGCATGAAACGAAATTTTCGTTTAATTTTAGACCTATGAATGCACTTGATTTCTACAATTTCTTAAAACTTGATTTGCTCACAAATCCCTAGGTGAGATTTTCTGAAAATTGAGAATATAAGTCAGGAGACTGCATGTTAAGGTATTCCTAAGAAAAAGTTTAGGTGTGGTGACTTGAAACCTGATGGTCCGTTTTCAGCAATGAGCCTGATAGTAACTTGTTGATAAAAAATAATTTATACATCCGGATCCGGATGAAAAATGATTTATGCACCCGGATCAGCTTAAAAAATGATTTAAGCACCCGGATTCGGATAAAAAATAAAATGGATTCTGAATTGAATAAACTTTACCTTTTCACCATGTTAGCACACTCACAGCAGAAACTGTGCTTTTTTAAATACTTATCCAAAGTTTCCCTGATAACACAACAAAATATTCAAAACTCAAAATAACTTAAATCTATATATAAATTTGGCTTGTCTGTCTGTCTGTTTGTATCCAATAAACGTCAAAACGGCTGGACCGATAGGGCCCAAATTTTTTGTGGGACATCTAGGGACCCCAGGGAAGGTTTATGAATGATCAAAATTTCAAATATTTGTCTCCATCAAAATTCGATCATCTTTAAATTTTTGAAAATGGGAAATTGCAGATTCAAAAATTTACCTGATAGGACTTTTCTGTCCTAGGGTGTGGGAGGGGCATCGCCCCCCTCGTCTTGCCACAACCTTCTTTCCATTAGGTTCGTCTACATGTCGCTGGGTCAATCTAAACAAGTGCGAACAATATTAGACCTTTATGGCAGTAAGCAATACGCAATATCAATCATTGGTGTTAGATCTACAACAGACTGTTCAAGGGGTAAATAACCCCCCCACCACCACACCCCCAACTCCCCAACTCCACCAATCAAAGAAATGTTGATCTATTTATAGTCTTATAATCTTTTTTTTAATTTCCTGGTTTGGATTAAAATCAATCAATCAATAAAATACTAACCTTGGTATTTGTTCACAGAAGAGTGTAGCCAATCCACCGGGCGCATCAATATGCTCTCTAAACATTAAACATATTTTTAAATACTTCTCTTTTTTTTAGATATAATAGTTAATAGCTATCATAGCTGTTATCTAATAACAAACTTTACGACAATGATGAACACATTTGTTTTATTTTCATTTAAATTGACAACTTTTTAAAAGAAAATTTAATAACCAATTTAACTTAATAGTATTGTATTTTTAAATACAGATGATGTAATATTAAAGAAAGAGGTTTACTACTTAATTGTGCACTTAATGCATGCTAAGTGCACAATTAAGCCTCAAAACTTATATACAAATTGTAATTTCACAATCCATTGTGTTTAAATCTGACAATTTCCATAATGTGTTTCTGTAGCAGAAATGCGCAAGTAAATTTACGAGATAATTGAAAAAAACAAATGGCCGGACAAAGCTTTTAAACCTTGTAAATCGGACATGCATCTCCTTTAATATTTAACCTCTTTCTTGAAATTACTTGTACTGTCCCATTAACAAAGATAATTGTCCTACCTGTTGATTGAGATAAATCCCTCCGGAGTTACAATAACAGGATCCATTGATGCATCACTGCAGTCTCGAAGTGAGTGGTACAAGGTTTCAATTGATCTCCTAGATTTTAAAATAATGTAATTTTTTAATCACATCAGCTCGTGCTTAGGATTCGGATCCTTTGGTTCCGCAACATTTTGGCTTCCTGGATCCGGATATTCACCCGTAAAAGAATGCGAATTTACGGATTCGGCTCAAAACAAAATATTAAGCAAAATGTCATATTATAAATAATATAATAAATATAAATATAATAAATATAATAATGTTTTATTATAAATAAAACTTTAAGAGTATAATTTAGCAAAACAAGTAATCAAAAAAAAATACAATCTTCGCAGTTAAAAGAAGTATGTAGGGGAAATTTAAATATTAAGAAAAACGTCATTATTATTTAATGAATAAGTCTCAATATTAAAAAGTTAAATAAACAAAAAATAAAAATTTGTCTTCGTCCCAACATTATTATTTAATCCAATATTAAATGAATGATGGTTAGGTATATAAAGGTAAAAATATGGTTGTTTCACAGAACGTTTTGTTATAGTACCTGCAACCCACACAGTTGACCGTTTGGCCCATCACATTGAGAACATCTTCCCAGGTCACCATCAGACAAGCGGTCAATTCATCCTAGATATAGGGGTTTTTCAGGGATATATATATATTTCCTTCATAATTATTCAATCTTAATCCCCCCGATTTGAGGTTTTTTGAAACGAAGAGATACCGATATTAAGTGAATTATTTGCTGAATTTTGAAATGGAATTTGTGGGAAAAGTATCAAAAATTCTACAATATTTAACGTTTCCGAGAAAATTATCAATCCACACACACACACACACACAACGAAAATATATCAAATAGGAATGTTACAAAATGGGCGGAGGAAAAAATATATAATTAATTAAATATGACAATTTTCAAAGAGTTGGGCAAAAAGTATCGAGAATACTACCCCCCCCCCCCACCAGTTTCGAAAAAAATTCCACCCGTCCCCTAAAGAAAGGGGGTGGGGGAATTTCTTCAAAAAAAAACTCCTTCCACGTTTCAGATCTGAAAAATAATTATTACCTTTTCCAACCCTTTATAATTTCTCATGAATGCCTCGACATCTGAACTGTGCTTCTTGGTACGACTTGGACTAAATTACAACATTTCAATATAAAGAGTATTTGTAAATAAAAAAAAATTGTTCAGGAAATTAAAATATTATATTAATTGCTATATTTTCATATTTTACTAAGCTTAACCGCTGAACAGTTGGACTTCATTTGTCTGTTTAGGTTAAAAATTATATTCGATATTTATTCGATAATTTCATATTTTTTAGTACAATTTAATTTCTTAAAAATTTTAAATATTGTAACTAATATTAATAATAATATATATGGTTTTGTAAATATTATGATGGTTGGATATAAAAAATTGAACCATGAAGAACATGAAAGCTCATAAGAATCATGGTAGTTTTTAATGACATCCAAGGCAAATATTTAAAGATCAGAATAAAAAAAAATATATATATATTACCCGCAGGCCATACAGAAGTCATCTAGGGCCATAACCATCGTGAGGTCGGTTTCTATCTCTAGAGGTAGGAACCGTCTAGCCTTACAGTCCTTAGACCGGATTTTATCACCCTAAAAACAATAATATTTAAAGGGACCGCTCACTGATTCTAAATAAATAGACAAACTTTAGAAATAGGAAATAATTTTTGCCAAAATTAATATCCTCCGCGATCTGAGTTATCAACATTTCTGTCAATGAGTCTTACGCGACAGGTTACAGCACCGTGCTGAGAATCATTAAAACCTTTATTTTGAAGACAGGGGTAAAAAACTTGTTTAAATATCCACCCTGCAGAATTTATTCTAAAACTAATAAAACTTAATATTTTTGCTGAATTGTGAAGAAATTAACTTAAGTAGATTTACATAAAGGAAAAATTCTTCTTCTTCTTACTGTAACTCTAGTGTACCGGCCACCGCGCGCTATAATTGGAAATACTCTAGAACTGTGTAAACTGTTTAGAAATTCAGGTGAAAATAGCATATTTATTGGTGATTTTAACTTTCCGACAATCAATTGGAGGGATCACACAAGTGATCGTAATTGTGAAAATTTTGTACAGTGTGTACTAGACAATAACTTTGAACAATTAGTTACTTTTCCTACACATGTACGGGGAAACATACTGGATCTTGTTTTTGCAAATCGACCGGAAAATATATTAAACATTAAAGCGCTTGGAAACCTGTCAAATAGTGACCACACTATTTTATCTATTGACATTATTTTTAGACCAAATTTCAACTCTACTGAGGAATTGATTTATGACTGGAAAAATGGAGATACTGATGGTCTTAAAGATTATTTAAAAATGGTGGACTGGCATGCTGAACTCGACGGAATGGATGTTGAAGAATGTTGGAATTCTTTCAAGGGTAAACTCGAATCAGGTATTACCCAGTTTATACCAAAAGTACGACGGAGGAAAAAAAACAACCATCAATGGATGACAAGACAAGTCAAACGAATTGTAAGACAGAAGCAACGCAGTGGCGTACATAGGGGGGGGGGGCAGTAGTCCTCTTGCCCCCCCCTGGGAGTTCAAGGGATAGTCCTCTTGCCCCCCCCCTGGAAAATAAAAGATTAAAAGGAAACAAATTTAAAAAGTAACACCTGACAATGACAAAGACTAAGGATTTGTCTAAATTCACTGTTAACACAAAATTTTAAGATACTTTAAACTAAAACTTTTGTAAAAACGAGACCTCGACATATTTGCTTCTTATAACATGATGGAAGATGTAAAAAAGCTATTCTATTTTCTATTTTTCTATTTTTTTCTTACAGTCAACTAATAAAGAAATTGAGTCTTTGGCACAAACTCAAATATTTAAACCTTTGATATCTGATGTTGTAAACCTTTGATATTTCAAATTCAGAATATTTGATCTAACAGAATTCATAGTTTGAAATATCTAAGGTCTACAACCATAGATAAAGATAGATTGCGCATAAGACATTGAGTACTTGTGGTGTACATGAGTTCTGAAGAGAGAAATTTAAGTTAGTTTAGTCCTTATGTCTTCATGTCTTGAGTTCTCGTCAATATGATATATTGCTCGGTGAAATATTGTTGTTCAAAAAGTTCCATTCCCGGAGTTATTTTACACTCTATTCAAGAGGAATGGTTAAACCTAGTAGATTGGAAAAGACCCAATCCGAATGTTATCTGCAACGAACATTTTCCTAGTTATATGAAAGTGAATGGGAAAAAGTTGTCAAAGTCTGCTGTTCCCTCAATTTTTAACATTATCGGATCGCTGTTCAGAACTGCTCCCTGGAAACTGTTCTGAACGAACAAAATTATGCCGTCCAGCTATTAAAAAGCAAAAGAAAATGTATGACGGAAACACAAGAAAAGGGAAAAAATTCCAAAATCAGAGTTATTCCCTCAAAGCTCAAAAAAGAAAACTCGACGAAAAAATTCGCAGTCTAGAATCTGTGATTGTCGAAATAAAAGACAAGTTCTCTTTACCAGAGGAAACTATAAACCTTCTTCACAGTTCAGCAAGTAAAATTCTGGGGGAGTTGTTTCGAAGAGTTATAAAAAAGTTAAAATATTCGGATTGTAGAGATAAATATCTTCCAGCTCTCCGATCGTTTGCTTAGCAAGATTATTCTTTTTCAAAACCAGTGATTGTGATTGTAGGCTAAATATTTTTTATCAATAAAAGTAAAAAACGTTATAGACTGTTTTTTATCATTTATGAAACTTTGCCACTTTGATTGATTTTTAACCCGTATATCTTTACAACTTGATGGTCTTTGATATTTAAAACGACATGAATTTGAGTTTTTGGCAAATACTCTGATTTTTTATTAAATTTTCTCTATAGAGAGAGGAAAATTTTTTATCAAATAGGTACCTCTTTTTTGAAAAAATCAACCTGACACTTCTTGACTTTTAGAAAAGAGTCATCTTTTACAGAGCCGGAGTTGTCAAGGAAAAATCAAAAATACCTCAGAACTTAAAAAATAATTGAGCTATGACCCTTAAATTTTCTATCTCACCCCCCCCCCTCCTCCATAATTTGATATTCTCAAAATAAAATTCACTCCTGAGTGGTTTAATAATTATGAAATCCATTAAAACACCAAACCACCCCACTTATCATTGAAGTACACTTTGACCCCTAGAAGTACGAGTTCGCGGACTGTACAATTCTTGGTGATTTTGCGTACATAAGAAGCTATCTATGTTTATTTATTTATCTATGTTAACAACATTCAGTTCCAAAGATATAGTGATTAGAAAATCATAGCTTGTGGAAAAGACTCAATTCCTTTATTTCAAGTTCCCCTTTATGCAATGATGACAATAACATCGAATGAAGGAAAGAGAAGTTTTAGCCTTCTAAAGAGAATACTTCATTACACAAGATGTACTATGACGGAGAACAGACTTAACGATCTTGCACTTATGACTCACTACTGAGAAAATTATTGAAATGTTTGTGCAAGCAAATCCAAGAAAATTGAAGCTTAAGAGAGTTGGTGAATATGTAGATTGAGTAAATTCTATCTAAAAATTTCAGAAGAAATTTCGTATATTAGTGAAAATATAATTTTTTAATGATGCTGTGATTATTGATTTAGTTAGCTGTGATGTAGTTAAGTGATAAAATAAATTTATAAATTTATAAAGTTAAAAAGTTATTTCGAGCAAATGATAAATTTTAGAATAAATTTTAGACTCTATAAGGTTAGTAACACTCAAAAATGTAGTCTTTTTGGTGTACTTTTATGGTGTTAATTGACTTTTTGAACAAAACAATTCCAGGAGGGGGCAAAAAAAAAATTTTCGCGCCTCGCGCGAAATCTTGCCCACCCTGGCTAAAATCCTGTGTACGCGCCTGTTAGGTTGGGAAGGGGATTTGGAGTTGAGGGGGTTTGGGTTAATGAAAGGTAAGGTTGTGGAAAGGGATGGGGTAGGGAGGTGAGAGGGGGAATTGGAGGAAAGTCAACAGGGGGAAGGTAATGTAGAACTCAGTTATAAATACTTTTTGATTGTGTCAATTTAATTACGCACGTCGGAGAGTAGCATACAGGTGTATAGCAGTGTGGGTTACTGTAAATTTTAGTCTATCTACGTATTTTGAGGCGGCTACGTAAGTAATCAGGTTGGGAGGTGAGGTGGGGAAGGTAAGATAGGGAAGGGGAGGTGGGTAAAGTAAAATGGGGAAAGGTTAGGTGAGTAAAGTAAGATGGGGAAAGGTTAGATTGGGAAGGTAAGATGGGGGAATGGGAGGTGGGGAAAGTAAGATGAGGAAAGGTTAGGTGGTAAAGTAAGATGGGGAAAAGGTTAGATTGGAAAGGTAAGATGGGGGAAGGGGAGGCAGGGAAGGTAAGATAGAATAGGGGAGGTTGGGAAGGTAAGATGGGGGAAGGGGAATTGTGGAAGGTAAGATATGGAAGGGGAGGTGAATAGAGTAAGATGGGGAAAGGTTAGGTGGGTAAAGTAAGATGGGGAAAGGTTAGATTGGGAAGGTAAGATGGGGGAAGGGGAGGTGGGTAAGGTAAGTTAGGGAAGGGAAGGTGAAATAGTGGGGAGGGAAGAAGAGAAGAAGAATAGTTGGATATATGGGGAGGGGAAAAAAGAAGAAAGAATAAAAAGAGGAGAGGGAAGGAAAGGTAAAAACACGTATGTTAGTAGTTGAAAGAGAAAAAGAGTAAATTGGGAAAAGAAAAAAATTTAAATAGAGAAAAGGAACAAAAAAGATGATTACATGAAGAAAAAAGATAAAGAATCAAGATCAACACTAAAAATAAAAGAGACAAAGGAAAAGATATATTTACAAGAAAAAAAATGTGATTGTAAATTGCAACGTTTTTAATTGGAGATTTATGAACTACATTAGGGCATTTATTTCTATTGATGTAAACACCCAATATGAAATACGAAAATAAAGATTAAAAAACTTTAATAAATAATGAATTTTCATAAAAGACAGAATTTTTATCAAGAGATTGAATTTCAGAGATCTTTGTCCCCACACGATATAAATAGGCTGGTAAGGGGGGGGGGGACCGGCCGCAACCACTAGATATTAAGTAAAAGAAACTTGGGTTATAAACAAGGGTTAGAGTTGAACTGGAGTGGAGATTGTAAAAGTATATTCAGACGTCTGTTTATTTCTAAAACGTGTATCTGTAAATATCCTAGCATGTCTGAATCTACAGTCTAAACAATATCTTGGTTTGTTTTGTGTATTATAAGCATGCATTGTGTTTATTTCTGCCATTTTTTTTGCATGAAACGCATACTTTTCACTTTTTTAATCTGTTTAAGAGAAAAATGCATTTTTCTTTTCAAACTTTAAATCTTTTTTAACATATTTTACGGAGAGGAGATCCTATTACTATTAGCTGATACTTGAACAAAAAATAGTAACATCGCTCAGAGTATTGTTAAGAAAAGAAACTGATTACATGCCTCAAACATCAATTCTCTAATTCTTTCATCTTTGCAACATATGATGCTTTAGACCTTACATATTTCAAGCTGTGAACTTTTTTCAAAAGAAGTTTAAAATGTTAGACTTTAAGTTCGCAAAGATACAAGGATTAAAAACTTAGAGTTCATGTTGCGAGGAATCAGTTTCTTTGGAAATAATTGTACTTCACATATTATAAATCTTTCTCTTTTCTGTCACACACTATTAAGTCAGTTTTAATCTGGTGTCTCCGGGTTTACCTTTTATCTTTCTAGTTAGTTTACTCCAGTATCTCCGGGTATGCCTTGAACCTATCTAGTTAAATTACTCTGGTATCTCCGAGTATACCTTGAACCTATCTAGTTAGTTTAATCTAGTATCTCCGGGTATGCCTTGAACCTATCTACTTATATTACTCTGGTATCTCCGGGTATACCTTGAACCTATCTAGTTAGATTACTCCGGTATCTCCGGGATTACCTTGAACCTATCTAGTTAGATTACTCTGGTATCTCCGGGTAAACCTTTAACCTATCTAGTTAGATTACTCTGGTATCTCCAGGTATACCTTGAACCTTTCTAGTTAGATTACTCTGGTATCTTCGGGTATACCTTGAACCTATCTAGTTAGATTACTCCGGTATCTCCGGGTATACCTTGAACCTATCTATTTATATTACTCTGGTATCTCCGGGATTACCTTGAACCTATCTAGTTAGTTTAATCTAGTATCTCCGGGTATACCTTAAACCTATATCTAGGTATGGGCTCCCTATGCCTATCTACGTGAACATGGTTCGTGACCCTGTAGAGCGTGTGATATCCTGGTATTACTATGTGAGAGCTCCATGGTACTTTGTTGAGAGAAAACGTGCATTTCCCGACTTACCTCTTCCTAATCCAAACTGGTTGAGAAAGGTAGGATTTTTTAGCATCTGTAGTATTTAAATATTTTTAAGCTTTGCTTTGACAAAAAATACCAAGTATGTATTCATAATCCGATAAAAGTAATATTTTTGTTTTCATGGAGAAAAAGTAAGTTTATTAAATTAGCCATGTTGCAATATTTCAGTTGTAGTTCCTCCCTTCATTGTTCTTTAAGAAAACAATACGAAATTTCTTGCCTGCCCCCTAGCGGGCTTTTTATCAGCTGTTTTCTCAGCTTGCGGATTTTCTCTTCTCTCTCCTTCCCTAATCTTAACCTGTGTATCCTGATACACTGCTCATATGAAGATCCGCCCAAACTTTCAAAATATAAAAAATTGGTCAAACTCTAAGTACACAAATCTAAATATTAATATTTGGATTCATTTTGAAGCAGGTTTCAACTCAATAATTTTTTTAATAATTTTTATCATACTTAGTATTTTTTAAATCAAAGAATTTTGTTGTTGCTGTTATATGTTTAAACAATAAAAATATATTTTATTTGTCTAATGTTTTATGAAAGCATGCCTAATTTTTCTCTCTGCCATTTATTAAAGAATAATTAATATTCTGCATGCTTGAATAAAGATTCAGAGAGATCAAAGTCCAAATTTAATGAATTTTAGCCGCGTCTCAAATACGCCAAAAGCTTGTTTAATTTGAGCGCCGGCTAAATCTTGAAAAATTGAAAACAATTTTAAGTGAAACGAACCATATTTGAGCCGCGGCTCAAATTCTTTAAATTCGGCCTCTGATGAAAATGCAAGAAAAACGAACTCAATTACAAAAAACTTAATGAATTTTAAAGATTTCAATTTTACTTTCTTGATAAAAAATTGAATTGAAAAATGGATTAAAAGATTCAGAATTCACATAAAAGCTGTTTAATAAAATGTAATGTTTTCGATATTCGTAGTTTTGTTGCATTAATTTCAAGTATATTGAACCCAGCGACACTAAATTTTGCATGTTCACTTCAATTCATCTCACATAATCATCCAATACTGTACACTGTACACTGCAGTACACCATATCCTGTACAGCTTCTCAGGTAATAGAATAGGTACATGTGCGGTACACTGCTCTCTTACAGTACAGCTAAAAGGTGAGTTTAATGTATTCTAGAGAGATTGGTTTTGAGGTCCATGTATTCTAAAACGATTGGTTTGAGTTCCGTGTATTCTAAAGTGATTGGTTTGAGTTCCGTGTATTCTAAAACGATTGCTTTCGAGTTCTATGTATTTTTAACGTTAGTTTTGAGTTCCATGTATTCTAAAACGTTTGGTTTTGAGTTCCATGTATTCTACAACATTTAGTTTAGAGTTCCATGTATTCTACAACATTTAGTTTAGAGTTCCATGTATTCTACAACATTTAGTTTAGAGTTCCATGTATTCTACAAAATTTAGCTTAGAGTTCCATGTATTCTACAAAGTTTAGTTTTGAGCTCTATTTATTATATCAACAATTGGTTTTGAGTTTCATGTATTCTATAACGTTTGCTTATGAGTTCCCTTCCGTGTATTCTACGACATTTAGTGAAAGTAAGTCATCAAATATTTGGACAACCTCTTAATAGTGTCGCAACGCCTTGGACGTTCGGTTTTAAGTTTTTTTCTATTCTACGACAATTGGTTTTGGGTTTCATGTATTTTATAACGTTTGGTTTTGAGTTCCATTTATTCTATAACGTTTGGTTTTGACTTCCATGTATTCAATAACGTTTGGTTTTGAGTTTCATGTATTTCATAACGTTGGTTTTGAGTTCCATGTATTTTATAAAGTTTGGTTTGGAGTTCCATGTATTCTATAACGTTTAGTTTTGAGTTCCATGTATTCTATAACGTTTGGTTTTGAATTCCTTGTATTCTATAACGTTTGGTTTTGAGATCCATGTATTCCATAACGTTTGGTTCTTGTTAAAGGGATTACTCCTAACAACGTCAGCTCTATACGAATTTATTTTATAAAAGTCTGTTTTATTTTGTATAATTTCTTAGCCATCGTTGGCTGCAGCAATTTTTTTCTGTTTCTTAGTCAAATCAATATTAACATTGACAAAATTGCATCCATGTTATGCAAACTTATGAATTTTGTATTTTAAAAGTTTGATGTCCTCTTTACAATCTCATAATTTGTGGGTCAGTCTGTATCTCTCAAATTATTCAAAAATATCACTTTATCACTTTCTCCTTCATCCTTTCTTTATCTATCCTGTCTTCCATTTCATGCAACCGTATTTTAGCTCCTGGAGGTATAATTAGTTGTTTGTCATTCTACTAATCAACATTCATATGCTTTATCTAGTTCTGTATTGTTTAAAAGAATTTCTATTTACTAATTTCGAAATAAAAACTTTCAGCATGACAAAGTAGTTTGAACTTTAGTTTTCTAATTTTTTTTTGTCTTTTTCTTCAAATTCTTTTCTTTATATTTCTTCTTTCACTTTCGTTTTATTTCACTTGATTTTTGTTACTCTGAGCTGGGAACTCTTTTTTTTTGTGGAATTCGAGAACCATGCTTGATCTCGACCTTTTGTTAATCTGCAGATTAATTGAATCTTTATGCGATACCCCGCTGAGCTTTTATCAGGGGATTAATAACTGAAATAAAGAGATTAAGCATTGCTTCTCAAATTTAAAGCGCCTACAGTGGATATCGAGACCAAGCCATGGGAATAATGAGTATGCAACACAAAAATTCCAAGCTTTGAAAAAATTAAAGGGGTTGTTCTGTAAAATCATGAACAATCCCTTTAATGGCAATAAGCATACATAAAGAATCATTAAGATCATTTTTTTGCATCAAGACAATTCTAATACAGCATTATGAGTGGCCTGACAAGGAATATAGTCATTTAAAAAAATATGTTCTGAGTTTGGAATTGTTTGAGTGATAAGGAAAAGCTAAAACAATCAGGGTAAACGCACCCTGTTGAAATATGATTGGACCCCCCCCCCCTTCACTTCAAGCTTAAGCGCACCTTTTCACCAAATCACACAATCCAGCTCTCCCTCCCCTTAATAAAACTGCGCCTTAATTGACTCTGCTTCCCAACTATAGCTTCTATCCTGTACTGTACTGTATGGTAAGAATATTGAACCCTGTGGAACTCCAGGATTATGAGACCTGTGTCCGACGAGGGGATAACGAATGCCAGTACCTTGAAGGAACCGAGAGAGACGATTTCGGCCAACTAACCGAGTTTTTCTGCGGCCAAGACGACGATTGCACGTAAGTATTTAAATACGGTAAGGTATGTTTATATAGACATGAGAGAGTTTACCCAACCCACCTAAATAGATAGATATCATAGATCACACAACTAACATAGTGTCGCTGGGGGTGATAAAACGGAAACTCCTATATTTACCCCGGATATAAACCAGGATTTTGAGACCTGTGTTCGGACGAATGATCCTGAGTGTAGATATCTACCAGCCATGAAGAGGGACGGGTTCGGGGATCATCGGCGACAAACCATGTTCTTCTGCGGTCATGAAGAGGACTGCACGTAAGTTAGAACCATGACAAATATGAATGGAGAAATATTAGACCAGAAGACGGCTTGATTAAAGAGACTGTATATTTGATTTCAAATTACACTTCATTTATAGACTGGCTTCTCCAATTCACAACAATTCCCTTTAAACCTTCGTATGATCTATATCTATATCTACTTTTTCATGATTGTTTTTTTTCTGGTTTCTAGTCAGAATTAAACCCTTTTCTAGCTAGTAAACCTAACGTATTATTGATCAGATTAAGGTTTAAAGGATGCCGTTGTCAATCGGATATGCCGGTCTTTCTCCTTTAGATGAAGCTTACAGTTACTTTACACAAGTAATTAAGAAGAGAAACCTGGATTTATTTTATTTTTCACACAATTAAACTTTAAGATTACTGAACACATAAAAATAATTTCTTACAATTTTTTATAATTAATTTGTTTTCCCTGTAGGGTACGTAGGGTAGATTTGGAATAATTTTCTAAATACACATCTAGGGTTCCACTAAGGACCAGACTTTAAAGACGACCTGAAAGTTGAAACTCATATTATATATGACGATCCCTGCATCTTCTGCATCAAAATAGTCTTTCAGTGGCTTATCTAATGAAGAGTTGTGAATATAAATTCCGTATATTCGTATCTGAAGTCTCATTCTTTATGGGTAACCCTGTACATATAGAACTCATTAAAAATAATTATGGTTTATTCTTGAACCTTCTTTTGATATTTTTACCGTCTTTTGATCAACATTACCAACCTATGATTCCCTTAACAGAGGGACGTTAACGTACTTAACGTTCCTTGGGACAATTCAGTAAAATAACCACTTGCCGGTTCTGCCAAGTTTTCGTGAAAAAAAATGTTCACATTTTCATCTCAGAAGACGATAAAATTGTGTACAACTACTTTTTCGGGAAATTAAAATATCACCTTACCACGGGTAAACCCTTGTAAAGTAAATCTTCCTTAACTTTCTTGTAAATTAGGTGTAAATTAGGTGTAAGTTAGGTGTAAAATATGTGTAAATTAAGTGTAAATTAGGTGTAAATTAGATGTAAATTAGATGTAAATTAAGTGTAAATTAGGTGCAAATTAGGTGTAAATTAGTTGTAAATTAAGTGTAAATTAGGTGTAAATTAGTGCAAATAATTATTATTTGTTAATTAACCTAAATAACCTCCGTTTATGTAAGGAGCCGACAATAAAGACGATAAGTAAATATGAACATATGGGAATTTACAAGAATCCGAAATACGTCAACATTTATTTAATAAATTTCTCGAAGATAAATTACAGTTTGGGAAAGTATAACGTACTAAGCACCACTTGTTCATGGTTCATGTCTCAAGTTGTATACGGAGACAAGGGATCTAATCCAGTTCAAACTTTCTTTTATATCATTCACTTTCTATCTCTCCTTGACGACATGGCCGACATAGATTTCCATAAATATTGAAATTAGATTTGGAGATTAATTCTAACATATACGCGTTATTAGAGCATGACATCGCCGGGGTGTCTCTAATCCTTTCTTACATGATCAATCCTTTCTAAACCTTTCCTTCATCTTAAATACTATCTAAACCTTTCCTACATGAACAATCCTTTCTAAACCATTCCTTGATGATCAATGCTCTCTAAACCTTTCCTACATGAACAATCCTTTCTAAACCTTTCCTACATGATCAATCCTTTCTAAACCTTTCCTTCATGATCAATCCTTTCTAAACCTTTCCTTCATCTTAAATACTATCGAAACCTTTCCTACATGAACAATCCTTTCTAAACCTTTCCTTCATGCACAGTCCTTTCTAAACCTTTCCTACATGATCAATCCTTTCTTACATATGACCCCCCCTCCCTCACTTCTTCTATTCTTTTACTTTACACTAGCAGAATTGTCCAGCAATACCTAGGGTTTCCTAAAGAAAAATTCAGTCAATTTGGTCCAGCCATTTGGTCAACCTATAGCGAAGAGCTTTTTTATAGTTAACTAAAACTTTTTAGAGGGTTTAATACTGAGGTTGCAATGAAGAAAGCGAAGGAGAATGTAGAACGACATTATGCTGTGGTTGGAGTACTGGAGGAGCTAAACAAAACTCTAACCGTCCTGGAACATTATGTTCCCAGATTCTTCAAAGGAGCTCTAGAGACATACTGGAGTAAGTTTTGTTAAATATCAATTATCATTATTATTATTATTATATTATCATTTCAGATGAAGTTCACATATTCTCGAAAATAAACCGGAACCTGTATAAGCCGAAGGTTGAGGAAGCAACAAAAGATATTGTCCGGCAGAATTTTACTCGAGAACTGGAGTTTTTTGATTTCTGTAAACAAAGACTTCATAAACAGTATTTAGCCATCACTCTTAACCAGGATCCATAGATTCAATACCTCCGGCATAAACAGAACATGTCTAGATACCCTCTGAATACTGAACATGTCTAGTTAATCTCTGAATACTGAACATGTTTAGTTAATCTCTGAATACTGACCATGTCTAGTTAATCTCTGAATACTGAACATGTCTAGTTAATCTCTGAATACTGAACATGTCTAGTTAATCTCTGAATACTGAACATGTCTAGTTAATCACTGAATACTGAACATGTCTAGTTACCCTCTGAATATTGAACATGTCTAGTGAATCTCTGAATACTGAACATGTCTAGTTAATCACTGAATATTGAACATGTCTTGTTAATCTCTGAATACTGAACATGTCTAGTTACCCTCTGAATACTGAACATGTCTAGTTAATCACTGAATACTGAACATGTCTAGTTAATCTCTGAATATTGAACATGTCTAGTTAATCACTGAATATTGAACATGTCTAGTTACCCTCTGAATACTGAACATGTCTTGTTAATCTCTGAATACTGAACATGTCTTGTTAATCTCTGAATACTGAACATGTCTAGTTAATCTCTGAATATTGAAAATGTCTAGTTACCCTTTTAAATACTGAACAGTGAACATGTCTGGTTAGCATCTATTCTTAACATGTCTATAGTTACCCTTCATATACTGAACAATGAACATGTCTATTGTTTAGCAAACATGTCTGCCATGACCTCAGAAACCAAACATGTCTAGCTTGACCTTTAAACAATGAATGTGAAAATTTAAGTTTAAATTTTAAAGCTTTAAAACTTTAAAAACATCATTTAAGGTTTAAGAATTTTTTTTCACTCTTTTAGCAATGTAAAATGTTTAAATTAAAAAAATATCATTTTAGTCGACTTTCCTCATTTTGCTTTGTTGTATTCTAAAACAATATTGTCTAGTTTAATTTCTTTCTTAAATTCATGCAGAAAATACCTGTTATATCGTATTGTAATAAAATGTTATATTTTTTATCCAATTAAAAATAATAATTGCTTGAAGCAAACAAGTTATGTGCGCTTTAAGTTTATATTTGTGGATACTTATCCCAGATTGGGACAAATAAATTTTAAAAATTGAAATTTTTTTTGTGACTTTTAAAATGTTTTTGCTGATTTTGTTCGGCTAATACTGCAGTCTTGCAAACTGCACTGTGAATAGACGTTTCATGTATCAAAACAAGTTAATTAATTTCAATTCAAATCCAAAATCATAAAACATACAAATCACTCTCAAGCAGTAGTGCAGAAACATGAAAAAATAATTCATGCTGAAGTTTTTTTTTAAACATAACAAAAAGTCAATAATTCCAGAGGGAAAAAGGTAAAAAACAAAAAAAAAACGCATTTCATAGTTTGAATTTGAGATTTAATTTCATAGTTTGAATTTGAGATTCAATTTCGCTGGTATGGTGAGAAAACTTTATAAGAGAGAGTATTTTTCTTCAGACTTTTTTTAAATTGATAAAAAAAAATTTGGATTTATTTTTTTCATCGTGGAAAGAGAGGTTGAGGTTTTTAATCATTGCGTTAAATTATGATTAATATCAAATATTAGCCATAATATTAAACACTCGCCTAAAAACGAATAAAAATAAAAAGTATAAAATTCTGTTTAAAGTGATGTTTGTTAAGTTTTCGATTCATAACGTTACAATTTAAACCTGTCTGAGTGTCAATATCGTAGCTTTTCTATCTTGGAAAGAACAATTTGACAATTTACTTTAAAGTCTCTGTATCCGGAATAAGGATATCTCCATCACTTTTTCTTTAAAGGGACCGTCGTAGATCTAACATGAAATCCTTAATTTCCAGTTAAAACTTCGTCAACAGTCCCTTTAAAAACATAATTTTTATTTATCAGCAACAAACGCAAAATATTTTTTAATAGGGACCGTTCACAGATATGCGGTTGGGTTCTTATAAATGTCGTCTATTAAAAAAAAGAATCATAATAGTTTATTTAGCAAACTTGCAAACGTAGAAAAGTAGAAAGAAAAAGAAAAAAATACGGACAAAACATCTGTTTTCATTATACTTAATTCTGTTTCATATAAGTTCATAAGTCTTAAAAATGCGTTTAAAGTAGTTTGTATACTAGAAACAAAGTACTTAAGTAGTTTGTGTACTGGAAACAAAGTACTAAAGTAATTTTTGTACGGGAAACAAAGTACTTAAGTAGTTTGTGTACTAGAAACAAAGTACTTAAGTAGTTTGTGTACTGGAAACAAAGTACTAAAGTAATTTTTGTACGGGAAACAAAGTACTAAAGTAGTTTGTGTACTGGAAACAATGTACTACAGTAGTTTGTGTACTGGAAACAAAGTACTAAAGTAGTTTGTGTACTGGAAACAAAGTACTAAAGTAGTTTGTGTACTGGAAACAAAGTACGTAAAGTAGTTTGTGTACGTACTGGAAACAAAGTACGTAAAGTAGTTTGTGTACTAGAAACAAAGTATTACAGTAGTTTTTGTACTAGAAACAAAGTGCTGAAGTAGTTTGCGTACTGGAAACAAAGTACGTAAAGTAGTTTGTGTACTGGAAACAAAGTACTAAAGTAGTTTGTGTACTGGAAACAAAGTACTAAAGTAATTTGTGTACTGGAAACAAAGTACTAAAGTAATTTGTGTACTGGAAACAAAGTACGTGCAATTCATAAGAAAAGATACTTAAAGAAAGTAAAGTACAACCAGTTATTTTACAAAAAATGTATCGTCAAAAAAAATATTTTTAAAAATGCAAACATTATTTAATTTGTGAACAGCTCCTTTTTAAAAAATGATATCGGGGTCAGAATATATTTTTAATGTCTTGAAATTTAGTTTAGTTTTATCTGTCCAGTAGTTTGTGGTGAAACGACTGGACCACAAGTGGAAAATTTTATACTTTCGTAGTTTCGAAAAAATGCATCGATATTGCGCAAATCTATTTCTACGTAATCGACAAAAATGTATATAAATCGTGTGATTATTGGTTCAATTATATCTTCGAATGTTTTTATCCTAAAGTTTTTTTCGGTTCACAGAGATAACCTTCAAACCTTTATCTACAAGTATGGAACAAAGACGATATTCATGTTGTTCTATCTAGAAAAATGCTACATTCTGCTGCAGCATAAATCAGCAAGTCACTTTTTTAAAGAATAAACAATTTAAAAATATCAGAAATAACAAGGATATCTTTAATTAAATCATGATTACTCTTGTTGAAGAGCTGTTAAAAAGAATAAAAAAGATTTAAATTTCATCTTAAACAATAATATCTATCGTGTTTAAACTACAATATAAAAACATTAAAATCCAAGGAAAACAACTAGTTTTATAACGTATTTATAATTGTAATGATTAAAATCGGCTCTTATAGCTTGTTGCATTAAACTATTAAAATGGATTTCTTTACAAATGACAGTTTAGCAGACTTATAGTATAAAGCGTCAGAAATAAAGCAAACTTTTTTTTTATTTTTCTTGCGTAACATGCCAATGTTACCTAATAATCCCTCTGGATCAATTAAAGGATTTATCATTAAAATATATAAAATTTCAATCTTACGTCCAATTTACTTTGTTTTGGACGTAATGTAATAATATTAGTAGTAGTACATTGTATTATACAGGGTGTCCCAATAAACACGGGAATTCAGTGACGAATTCGAGAACGTCTTTGTTAAGAATCAGCATTGAAATATTTGTGTTCAAAGGCGATAATATTATTATGTCTGCTAGAGTTTATTTTATGAAAACGGTAAAAGACTGTAAAGATGTGTATATAATGTCTCTGTAAGATGAACAGTGAAGACGGACAAGTTTAATTTGTTTTCATACTGTAATTTTTTACTAAGTACACCCTTATGCAGTCAAAACACAAACAAACAAATTGTTGACATAGCAGACGATAATCTTACGGTTTAAAGCTTTCTCAGTAGGTATCACTAAACTAAATCAAGGAATTATTTAAAACAACGATATCGAAATCGTTATTCAATTGTTTATTGGGACACCCTGTAGAATTTAGAGAACTACGTAGTTTTAATTTTGAAAAATGATTATTTTTAAATTCGATTTCTGTAAGGATGTGACTTGGTGATTTCTGTAACAGAAACAATGCATAAAATTGTGAGAATTATACACTTTTCAAAAATGACAATATCTACTGATTTAATAAAGGTTCTGGTTTAAGGGTTCTGCTATAATTCAGGCATGCCTTCCTTTAAATATAGGTTCAGTTGAAATTACAATGACAGTCCCTTTAATTTGTCAATAAACGTTTTATTTTGAAATTCTCAATTCCCCAGACAATTATCTATAGTATATAAACATATGGCCTCCCTGATGCATTTTTATTTCAGAATTCATTTCACAGTTTTGTCATGAAAACATAATTTTTTTTCTTTAATTTATTTAATATTAAATAAGTTTTGAAGATGGAAGATAAGATATATGCAATACTCAGTCACAAATCGGGAAACTTTCAGTTACATAGGATACATACAACATACACACAGGATACAGTAGGTTACTTACAGAGGATACAACATACATACAGGATATACACCATGTTCAGTGTGCAGTGTACATTTGTCAATATTCATGAGACACCATGTTCAGTGTGCAGTGTACATTTGTCAATATTCATGAGACACCATAGTCACAAATCAGGATACAGTAGGTTACTTACAGAGGATACAACATACATACAGGATACAGTAGGTTACTTACAGAGGATACAACATACATACAGGATAGAGTAGGTTACTTACAGAGGATACAACATACAGGGAGATATAGGATACAGCAATTAAGTTACATACAATACAACTTAGATACATGATAAATAAACTCTTAATTCAGAAAGTTAATGAACTGCAATGATTAATTGTATAAAAATATCACTGTTAAAAATGATACTTTGGGAATCCTAGCAAGCAGATATAACGGTTTGGTCCTTATCCCAGAGAAATGTGATTTAAGATCACAGTTTGACGTATTAAACATTTTCTTGTTGCTTTTCTCTTGAAGACTTTTTTCCTTTTTTTTCTGAACGAAAAAGTACAACATTTAATCTTCATAAGTTTAAACATTGCTAAATTATAGACCAAGATGCTTGAATTTAAATAGAAGAAACCGAATGCAACTCGCCCTATTAGCGGTTTGCTAGTTTACTAGTTTAATTGTCTTTCCTGATAAATATCGTGTTTATTAGTTTGCTAGTTTACTAGTTTACTAGTTTACTAGTTTACTAGTTTGCTAGTTTACTAGTTTGCTAGTTTACTAGTTTGCTAGTTTGCTAGTTTGCTAGTTTACTAGTTTGCTAGTTTTCTAGTTTGCTAGTTTACTAGTTTGCTAGTTTTACTAGTTTGCTAGTTTACTAGTTTGCTAGTTTACTAGTTTGCTAGTTTACTAGTTTGCTAGTTTGCTAGTTTGCTAGTTTACTAGTTTGCTAGTTTACTAGTTTGCTAGTTTGCTAGTTTGCTAGTTTACTAGCTTAATTGTGTGTGTATGTATGTTTATATGTTACCTACAGCCATGGCCAAACGGCTGGACCAAATTGGCTGACATTTTTTTTTAGGAAACCCAAGGATACATTGGGAGTAACATAGACTAAAAAACGATTTGGATACATTGGAAGAAACATAGACTAAAATACGATTTTTTTTTCTTTCAAATTTCAATTTTTTAATTCCACGGGCAACGCCAGGCATGCTTCATGCCTCATTTGACAAAATTAGAATTGCTACAGCAAAACTAAAACGTAAAGAGCTTATTACTCGCCTCAAACTCTTATTTTAAAATATTAAATCTTATACGGCAATTAAAGGGACTGTAAGAGTAATTTGAAGACTGCCCGATTCACAGCGATACCCCTAAAATCTTTATCTCAAATGTGGAAGATATTGTCGTTTTTTTAGATTAAAAAATTATTAATTCTAATAATTTCTATATGTTTTATGCAGTAGAAATGCGAATGTAATGTTAGTTGAGAAACCACTATTGAAAATAATCAGCTTTTCAAATTATAAACAATGATATCTGAGCGAAGTGCATCCTGTCTGCATCGAAATATTTTTTATTCATTGTATAATCTCTCATTCAAAACCCATCAAAATGACGTTATAGACATTATATACTTAAATATTTCAAAGATATTTTAAATGCAAAGACCAACAAAATGGTATGAAATAGTAAATAAGAAAAATCTACATTTAGTGGTTAAAAATGGAATCTAAAGTTTAACCACGACCTCTAGTTTACCGTGAACTTGAAACTAGGACCTCTAGTTTACCGTGAACTTGAAACCAGGACCTCTAGTTTACCGTGAACTTGAAACCAGGACCTCTAGTTTACCGTGAACTTGAAACCAGGACCTCTAGTTTACCGTGAACTTGAAACTAGGACCTCTAGTTTACCGTGAACTTGAAACCAGGACCTCTAGTTTACCGTGAACTTGAAACCAGGACCTCTAGTTTACCGTGAACTTGAAACCAGGACCTCTAGTTTACCGTGAACAAACTAGGACCTCTAGTTTACCGTGAACTTGAAACTAGGACTTCTAGTTTACCGTGAACTTGAATCTAGAACCTCTAGTTACCGTGAACTTGAAATAAGACGACAGTTGTCCCAGTAATCAGTTTCTTTTAATATTTGTATATTTATCAAGATATATCTGAGAATGTCGGAGAATAAAACTCCTGACACTGAGAAGTTAGGAGAGGAGAGTCTAGGGATGATGAAACGGATCAGAAGAGCTTATTCATTAATGACAATCGAACCACTCATGCTTCTTCTAGGTAACCATGTGCTTGAATTAACATTAATAGGACTGGAAGCGTAATTTAAGATAATCCTCCATGCAAAGATGGCAATGCCCGATTCACAACAGCACCCTTGAAACCTTTATTAATAACGTGAAAGATATTTCGTTTATCTAGGTGTAAACCACAATCGAAAGTAATCAGTTTTCAAACATTTGAACATTGACAAATAATTCATAATTGATCAGACAAATCTTTTAAGGGTATGGTTGTTAATCGTTGCCATCTTTGCATATGTAGGGTCACTTAATTTACGCGTTCACACCCTTTAACAACGAGATGTTATTAACCTAAGCTAGTTTAGATACTTATCAAGTGCATTCTCATCCACAGTAGAGAATTAATTGAATTGTTCATATCTTGAACAGCTGCTCTTTCCTAATATTCATTAAATCTGACCTCTTGGGCCAAATTTAATGAATAGCTAGAAGTAGTTGAACTGCATAGACAAAGCTGATCTGACGGAGAAAATAAGGTGTTAAATTTATTCTACGTAGTTCAATTACTTCTTATTATTTATCTTTTAAGTTTGAATTGTTGTCTTGGAATTTGTTATTTGGCAGGTTATAGAAGAAATACTTTCTAAACTGTTACAGGGACATTTTGAGTTTTAAATAGTGGAGACAGCAATCAATCCAAAGTTTTTTAGCTATGTAATCTCAACTAAAAAAGTTAGAGAGGGTTAAATTTTCAATATTTATTTTAGGAGTAGCCTCCAATATGATAAACGTTCCACAGGTATAGATTCAGTTCTTTAATAATTATTTGACATATATTACAACAAAAAACTTTATAAAGAGATGATGATGTCGTCTTTCTAAGAATGATCAGCTGACATTGACCGAATTGGAAAAATTTAAGGGTTATATTGTTTTCTGACACGACCAACTTATGATTATCACAGATCCGATAGTTTTTTTGGTTAATTTTTAACATTTAATTTTTTTGTTAGATTTTTCTTCTTCTGTCATAGTTACATAATTGACGTTGATGAATAGTAAATACAGTGAGAACCAGAAAACTGTGGAATAGGAAGACGATCATAGACTCTACACAATTAAGATTACTTAAAATATCTTTCTATTCCATAGTTTCATGGTTCTCTCTCTTTAATTTGATTTTTTTCAGGAGCAAATGCTTCTTTACAAGATCTGCTCAGAATCTCAGTTTAATGTTACCGATGAATACTGCCGCCACTTTGAGGCAATTTTAATATCGTTTTTTTGCATCAAAATTAAATTTTCAGAGATTACTCAAGAAAGGTCGTTGGTATAATGTTTCTAACAACCGTACGGGAGTACAGTTTTGCCGACTTTCCCAACCCAGAGATGGAAGTTTATAAATGATCGAGAAGTTCTACAAAGTTAAACAAAGTGTTTATGGTTAAACTCCAAAAGCAATGGTCTTAGTCACAAACTCTGATTTTTTTATCTCTATATCTTTGCAACCTACTGCACGTAGGCCTAAGAAATGACGATGAATTCTGTTTGATCGATATTATCTAATTTTAAAATATCAAAGGTTAACAAAATCGGGTTGCAAATATTTAAAAATTATTAAATTTGAATTTGTGGCAAAGACTTAACTCCGTTATCGAATCTTATAATAAGTTCTTGAGGCACCATGAGTTGGTTCTAAAGTTTAGTGCGAAATTTTGTTTATCTTAAACCACAATCGGTTTAACCTTAGATGTTTAACAACTCATTTGAAAGTTTATGCAGTTGATATTATAAAGAAACTAAAATTTCCTTTTTTTCTACTGATAGTGTAAACCTTTGATATTTAAAATTTATAATATTTGATCTAACAGAACTTTATAGTTTTAAATATCTAGGGGCTACGATATCGGGGATTGGAAAGATAAAGGGATTAAAAATCAGAGTTTGGGGCAAGAACTCAGTTTCTTTAAGTGCTGTACCAACACGTTTCTTTTTAGGAAAATTGAAACCGGTTTTAACTAAACCTGAATCTCATTTTTAAATTTCCTACTCAGTATACTTAGTCTAAAAAAACAAGTCAATTTATTGTGTGCATTACATAAATGAGCAAATTTAATGTTATTAAAGACAAAAGTTAATTAAATTATCCTCCTTAAGCCCTTTATCTACGTTCAGCTTAATCAATAAGAAGACAGACGAATTAAAATTTAATTAATTGTCAATATTTATGAGACACCATGTTCAGTGTGCAGTGTACATTTGTCAATATTCATGAGACACCATGTTCAGTGTGCAGTGTACATTTGTCAATATTCATGAGACACTATGTTCAGTGTGCAGTGTACATTTGTCAATATTCATGAGACACCATGTTCAGTGTGCAGTGTACATTTGTCAATATTCATGAGACACCATGTTCAGTGTGCAGTGTACAATTGTCAATATTCATGAGACACCATGTTCAGTGTGCAGTGTACATTTGTCAATATTCATGAGACACCATGTTCAGTGTGTATGTTCAGTGTGCAGTGTACATTTCTCAATATTCATGAGACACAATGTTCAGTGTGAAGTGTACTTTTGTCAATATTCATGAGACACTATGTTCAGTGTGCAGTGTACATTTCTCAATATTCATGAGACACCATGTTCAGTGTGAAGTGTACTTTTGTCAATATTCATGAGACACTATGTTCAGTGTGCAGTGTACATTTGTCAATATTCATGAGACACCATGTTCAGTGTGCAGTGTACATTTCTCAATATTCATGAGACACTATGTTCAGTGTGAAGTGTACTTTTGTCAATATTCATGAGACACCATGTTCAGTGTGAATTGTACATTTTTCTCTTGTATGTAAGCTGAAGTTAATCTTTTGTAAAGTTCTCATCACTTTTCTTTGAAAAGTTTTCATGAAAAATAAAGTTCTTTCTCATCAGTTTCGGAACCTTTTATGTAATACAATGAATTGACTCTATTACTTTAAAGGGAGTGTTCGCGAATAATGAAAGGGGTCATAGGCTTACGTCGAAAAATTATTGATGGTGATCGCTACTAATCTAACTTATTTCTGTCGCGTCCATTAGGGATAATTGTTTAAATCGACTTATACCTAAGAACATAGCGTCCATACAAATTCAGAAAGTTGCAACATTCGACTCGGATCGCAGAAAAATCAATCTAATTCCAAACAAATCATTCAGATATTATAACAACCTATAATCAGCGATAATTGTAAAAATAACTCCCGGATCATAAAAAAAGATAAAAAATTATTATGAAATATCAATTATATACGAATGCGCCGAAGAGTTATCGATGATTATTGGTTGTAATATCTATATTATTTGTTTTTTTTACGATCATAGTTGAATTATGCAACCTTTTGAATTTGTACGGACGCTACGTTCTTTGGTATGAGTCGTTTTTAACAATTTTCTCCTATAGACGCAACAGATAGAAGTAAAATTAGTAGCGATTACCATCGATGATTATTCAACAGACTACCGGCTAATCAACCATTTTAGATTAAAGGAATGTCAACAAAACTTAAGCAACCAACATGTAGAGAAGGCAATGCCCGATTCACAGTGTTACCCTTAAAAGCTTTGCGTGATCAACTATGAAATAGATATTAATGTGTTTAATTTTGAGAACTAATTATTTTCAAATGCGGTTTCTCTACAAAAGTGACTTTGGCATTTCTACTGCAGGAAAACCTATAGAAATAGTCAACACTTTCAAATCTGGAAAAACAACAATATCTTGCTCCTTATTGAACAGATAAAATTTTCAAGGGTATCGTTGTGAATTGGGTATTGCTACATGTTCATAAAGGGTCGCATAATACTACGCTTTCAGTTCCTTTTATCCTAAAATGTTTTACTTATTTAATAAAATGCAAAAAAACGGAAATTAATGATATTTAAATTGTCGAATGAGTCCAGGAGCACAAAAACGAAAGTACTTATAATGAAATTGAGAGTGAGGTGAGACATTTTTTAAATTGAATTTTTTGCCGAAAATCGAAATTCTTGGTTTTTCTGTTGCTTTATTGTTGATCGAACTCCACGCTCAATATAAGACCAAAACAAATGATTTTTCGTATTACCAATTTAAAAAGATTAGAGGTATGAAAGCGTTTAAAATATATAGAAATAAGTTTAAGGTTTAAAAATTCAAAACTTAAAACCAAAACTATTATATGAAACCGCAATTGATAGGAAAATATATATAAGACATTTACGAGAATCCGGCTTTTTTTCAAAAACGTGACTGTTATATACTTTATACTCATATATATAAATAATCTCAAGGAATAATAATTGTCTTAAACCATTCTTTAAAAAGAGAATCTTTGCAAATAATCGTTTTGCGTATCATACGATCTGATCGTTCGTTTCCTTTTTTCCCTCTGACTGACCCTTTTTTCTTGTTGTTCTTAACATTTGTCAATTTTTTAATTTTAATGGTTATTATATCGTTAGAACTGACGAGAGTCAGCCTAGACCGAAAAATATTTTCAATAAAATTTACTTTGTTAACTGTATGAGGTTTGGTCCATCATCAACACCAAATTTTAAATGTGTCTGGCCAATCTGACACTCATTAGCATCTTTGAATTATAAAATTGACTTAATGTGTTCCTAATTTAAAATAAGGCAACAATTACTTTAGACCGTATTTTTCAGGTTGTATATTTCAATAATATCATCACTTACGCTGAATATTTCCTCCCAGTGATAATCAGTTTCTATATTGGGAGCTGGAGTGATATATTTGGAAGAAAAGGATTTATTGCTCTGTGCGTAGCAGCAAAGGTAATCTATTTACATGCATTTTATAAAACAAATAATATATTTTTATTTTATATCCCTTTATGGACAATAGCACTTTTTTCAGTGGCTAAATTTTAAAGAACCATCTCCACTTGACCCCAAATCGCTTTAGGTCTTATAAATTTTTTCTATTTGTATAACACAGAAAAATCGATAAAAATTGATATTAAAATTTAATTCTACTGTAGTTTTGGGTGTTCCAAACTAGATAGTCCTTTCCAAACTAGATAAAGTCCTTTTCCAAACTAGATAGTCCTTTTCCAAACTAGATTTTGTCCTTTTCCAAACTAGATATAGTCCTTTTCCTAACTTGATAGTCCTTTCCAAACTAGATATAGTCCTTTTCCAAACTATATAGTGCTTTCCAAACTAGATAGTCCTTTTCCAAACTAGATAATCCTTTTCCTAACTATATAGTCCTTTTCCTAACTAGATATAGTCCTATTCCTAACTAGATAGTCCTTTTCCAAACTATATATAGTCCTTTTCCTAACTAGATATAGTCCTTTTCCTAACTAGATAGTCCTTTTCCAAAATAGATATAATCATTTTCCAAACTAGATATAGTCCTTTTCCTAACTAGATATAGTCCTTTTCCAAACTAGATAATCCTTTTCCTAACTATATAGTCCTTTTCCTAACTAGATATAGTCCTTTTCCTAACTAGATAGTCCTTTTCCAAACTAGATATAGTCCTTTTCCAAACTAGATAGTCCTTTTCCAAAATAGATATAGTCATTTTCCAAACTGGATATAGTCCTTTTCCTAACTAGATATAGTCCTTTTCCTAACTAGATAGTCCTTTTCCTAACTAGATATAGTCCTTTTCCTAACTAGATATTCCTTTTCCAAAATAGATATAGTCATTTTCCAAACTAGATATAGTCCTTTTCCTAACTTGATAGTCCTTTTCTTAACTAGATATAGTCCTTTTCGCCCATAATGAGAATATTCTAGGGTTTATGGGGGAGAGAAGAGTGAGGAGGGTGAAATTGTTTAATCATTAAGTAATCAATTAAGTAAATATTTTCTATTTTAAATATTTTAATTCAGACATTGGCCGCATTTTTCAATCTTCTCAACGCCATATTTCTCAGCTCATGGAACAGGTATCTCCATTTTTCTATTTTAAAACGTGTTTTATTGTGACCAGACCAAGCTTATAGGGCTTCGTTGTGAATCGAACATACCACTTAAAATGGAGATTCACTCGAAATTATCAAGAATTTAAAAAAGTCAAGGTGAAAGAAATTTTTTATGAAAACAAACTTAAAAGAATATGAATAATATATATCTAGACTTGTTAAGAATGTACCGCGTGAACCAGAAAACTCTAGAATAGGAAGACGCCATTATGATGTTGTTACAAAGCAAATAGTTGGACAAGTAACTTAGCAATTTTACTTATTTCCACTGCACAATTGTAATGTCTCGTGTTCAATGGGCTATTTAACGTCATAACTAAAATCTAAAAGTCGTCTTTCATTCCAGAGTTTTCTGGTTCTCCCTGTTTATGAAAATACTTTGGAATACTTTGGAATAAATGAATTGAGCCTGTGCAACAAACTTTAATTTGTTAGTCCCTATATCTTTGCAACATAAACTTTTGATATTCCAAACTGAGACTATTTAATCTATTTAATCTACGACATCGTGTTCAAAACAAATATTTATGTAGAAAATCTGAATTTGGGGCAAAGACTAATTTATCTTTACATCAACAGTTAATAGGAAACCTTGAACTAGTGAATTGAGTTTAAATCATATTACACGAGCGTAACTAATACATTTAAATCCTGCACTAATGAAACTGTCTTAAAGGGACTGTATGCGAAAATTTCAGGTGACCTTTCTTTTTTACTGTGGTGTGCCTGATTCACAACGGTACGGGCGTCGATAACGTAGAATATACTTATTTTTGATAGAGGGTTACCCACAAAGGATGAGACTTTAATAAAGACGACGGATTTTATTCGGTCTGTTTCTTTATATTCATTATTCCATGCAACTATATTTTTGCTAAATCATATAAAACGCTATCAAAAGACTATAATAATTAACCTTTGAATCGTTATATTTTGAGAGTTTTAGGTCGTCTTTACATTGTCATCCTTTTTGGGTAACTCGGTAAAAGAAACTAGAGTTCCAGCCATAAAAATAAGAATATCTACGTATCATTGATCAGACAATTTACAGGGTACCGTTGTAAATCGGATATACCACTCTTTAAATGATGGGTCACTTGATATTACGACTGCAGTCCACTCCTGTATGTCAAGTCCATTACCGCCTGATCCAATTAGGGTTTAGCCATGTGTTTGGTGTCTATTCTGTACCAATAGAAATTGCATCTCTCTATCTTTCTATCTAGCTCATTATCCCATTAGAGATAAATCCTTATATTGGCGCTATAACAGTAAATGTTTACTTCTACTGAAACTTCCTTTAAAGGTCCAATAGTTTAATCCTATTAAATGGTGTTAGGTAATTTCCTAAAGATTTTTTTCCAAGGGCGACTTCCCATGTGGCAACTTCCCAAATGTACAATTTCCAAAGCGGCAACTTCCCAAAGGTTAGGTTAGGCCCTCTGATGCGCCGCAGGCTGCAATTGGGGGCCGAGCGCTGCGGCTCGGATGGGCTATGGGGCTGAGCGCTGAGGCCAGAACAGGCTTAGAGGCCGAGCGCTGCGGCTTGGACAGATTTGGATAGTTGCCGCTTGGGAAATTGCACATTTGGAAAGTTGCTACTTGGGAAAATACCCTTGGGAAGTTGCCACTTAGGAAAACCCCTTTGGGAAAGTACCTAACATTCTATAAAATGTACACTGTACAGGTGGATATGGCTGGGTACAGTAGTTGCAGTAAAGAATTTATCTGGCGGATATCTTGTATTTATCATGGTTACATACAGTTTTATATCAGACAACTGTACTCCGGAGGATAGAACTCTTAGGATGGGAATTCTTAACTTTTCCTGGGCTGTCAGGTAGCTTCATAATCTCAACCTTCTGCTGGGGGTTCAGGTAGCTTCATACTCTCAACCCTTCTCCTGGGGGTTTGGGTAGCCTCATACTCTCAACCTTTTCCTGAGGGTTTGGGTAGCTTTACACTCTCAACCACCTCCTGAGGGTTTGGGTAGCTTTATACTCTCAACCTTCGCCTGAGGTTCAGGTAGCTTTATACTCTCAACCTTCTCCTGAGGTTCAGGTAGCTTTATACTCTCAACCTTCTCCTAGGGGTTCAGGTAGCTTTATACTCTCAACCTTTTCCTGGGGGTTTGGGTAGCTTTATACTCTCAACCTTCTCCTAGGGGTTCAGGTAACTTTATACTCTCAACCTTCTCCTGGGGGTTTGGGTAGCTTTATACTCTCAACCTTCTCCTGAGGGTTTGGGTATTTTTATACTCTCAACCCTTCTCCTGGGGGTTCAGGTAGCTTCATACTCTCAACCTTCTCCTGGGGGTTTGGGTAGCTTTATACTCTCAACCTTCTCCTAGGAGTTCAGGTAGCTTTATACGCTCAACCTTCTCATAGGGGTTCAGGTAGCTTCATACTCTCAACCTTCTCCTGGGGGTTTGGGTAGCTTTATACTCTCAACCTTCTCCTGAGGGTTTGGGTAGCTTCATACTCTCAACCCTTCTCCTGGAGGTTCAGGTAGCTTCATATTCTCAACTCTTCTCCTAGGGGTTCAATTAGCTTTATATTCTCAACCCAACTCCTGGGAGTTCAGGTAGCTTCATATTCTCAACCCTTCTCCTGGAGGTTCAGGTAGCTTCATACTCTGAACCTTCTTCTAGGGGTTCAGGTAGTTTCATACTCTCAACCTTCTCCTAGGGGTTCAGGTAGCTTCATACTCTGTACCTTCTCCTAGGGTTCCAGATAGTTTCATACTCTCAACCCTTCTCCTAGGGGTTCAGGTAGCTTAATACTCTGAACCTTCTTCTAGGGGTTCAGGTAGTTTCATACTCTCAACCTTCTCCTAGGGGTTCAGGTAGCTTAATACTCAGAACCTTCTCCTAGGAGTTCAGGTAGTTTCATACTCTCAACCTTCTCCTAGGGGTTCAGGTAGCTTCATACTCTCAACCTTCTTCTGGGGGTTCAGGTAGCTTCATACTCTCAACCCTTCTCCTGAAGATTCTGGTAGTTTTATACTCTCAACCCTTCTCCTGAAGATTCATGTAGCTTTATACTCTCAACCCTTCTCCTAGGGGTTCAGGTAGTTTTATACTCTCAACCCTTCTCCTGAAGATTCAGGTAGCTAAATAAAATTATTGTTTTTTTTTACCAATTTAGAGTTCATAACTCTTTTAGCTTTTTGGTAAATTTTATGGCTATTTTAGAATGTTTTGGGTTTCATACCCGGAAAGAATAGTTGGTCTGCCTTTCCTCATTTTACTTTATTATTTCTTACAATTTAGTCAAAATATGCTCTGAGTAATATTCTTATCACAAATTAGTCACAATCATTATGCTATGATTCATTTTCTTAGTTTTATTTTTTAAAACTTGATATTTTTCAGCAAACCAATAGCATCAGGAGTTGGTGGACTACTATACAGCAATGGAGGGTTTGTCTGTGTTTTTGCAGCTAGCCTACTCTTATTCATACTCGGAGCTTTATTTGGGATTATTAAACTTTATAATTTCAAGGTACAGTGGTTTACATAACAAAGTTTACTCTTTTTCATTCTCAGAACTTTATTTGGGATTATAACAATATAATTTTATTGTACATTGGTTCCCATAATTGGAATCTAACGCAAATATTACTTAGATAGTTTCAGATAATTTTAATTTTTGTAAAACAAAAAATCACCACTGAATTTATATACACTCTGGGATCCTATAAGATCAAAAAAATATATTTGGTTTTGGTAAAAAATTCTTATTTACAATACACACTGATAACTTGGTCTCTGCTTATCAGTTAGATACAGGGGTCCATATAATTCCCAAAATATCTGATTTTCTCGATCCCAAAACAATTTTTTGCCCCCAACTTTAAAAAAAATGCCCCCAATTGTAAAAAAATGCCCTCATTAAAAAAACATTTTCAAATTCCACTAACACATTTTCCCCCATTTGCCCCCAATTATAAAAAAATGCCCCCAATTACAAAATACTTTCAAATTCCACTATAACATTTGCCCCCAAATTAAAAAATAAATGCCCCCAATTTCAAAAAACATTTTTAAATTCCACTGACACATTTGCCCCCAATTTAAAAAAATGCCCCCAATTAAAATAAAATTTCAAATTCCACTTACACATTTGCACCCATTTGCCCCCAATTATTAAAAAAAATGCCCACAATTACAAAAAATTCCCCCAATTAAAAAACATTTTCAAATTCCACTAACACATTTGCCCCCAATTTAAAATAAATGCCCCCAATTAAATAAAAATGCCCCGATTTTTTAAAGTTACCATTTAAAAAAAATTTGCCCCCATTTAAAAAATTTGCCCCCATTTCTTTCAAATTTGTCAATCCCAAATGGGGTTGAAAAAGGAATTATATGGACCCCTGAGATGAGATTTAAAAAGCTTAAACCCGAGTAAAACCCGGTCTTAGCGTCTGCTTAGACCCAAGTAAAACTTAAGTCAAGACCCGGGTTTTAGATGGCCTTGAGTTTAGTAAGAACCAACCATCTTGGGTTTTTCTCTCTTTAAGGCTCGTGTCTTCAATAGCTGATAATTGTAAATTTCATAAAATCTTTAATATTTGTACATTTAAAATCTCGGGAATTATTTGTGGTGTCAAATTTTATTAAACTTATGCATACTATGAAAATAATATATCATCATAAAGTTTGAATTTTCGAAATTTACATCTCCTTGTCACAGCTGATCTGACGGCATTCTGTCTGCTACAGAGAGAAAGCTTGCAAAACAGTCTTTCATTGGTCGAATCAGAACCAATCCTGACTTGGGTTCTATCTAAGCCCGAGTTTGGGTTTTAGTCGGGTTTAAGCTTTTAAAATCTCAACTCTGGTTGGATACATTTCTTTGCAACTCAATGCCGTAGAAAGAATCCATGTTTGAAATATCAAAGGTTTACACGGTCAGGTCGAAAAAATATAGAAAATCAGAGTTGGTTATACACAGACTCAATTCCTTTTAGCCAATGAGGTGACACCAAGTGTACTGCACCTGGAGTTTAGGTGTTTCTTTGTTTAACGAAAATAATAACTCTCTGGCCTTTAGAAACATCTTAATAATGGAAAATTTTAATTAAGTTTCTTATCCCCAACCAACAGGGATAATAAGTATATTTTCTAATTACTGGAAAATCTCCTTAAATAGGTCACTGCGTCATCTTTTTATTTCTCCAAATAATATATTTTCTTAACAAGGTCCTTGTTAAAAGTCTGCAGTGAGTCTGAACTTTAGCCTTTTTTGTTTTTGCCTTTAAAACATTTTTTGTTGGTCTATACGTTTTAAAGATTTAACTTCACGGTTTCTAACACTATTTTTGACAGATTTTTAATGAGAAATCAAAATATAACTTAAATATTTCGAACATAACAGGATATAAATTGTTGCAGTTAGTTTTACGCGGGCGTTGCCAATACTATTTTTAAACCGTCCAATACTCTGAAGGAGATATCCTTGGGATTTTAAATATTTCTAAATGGTATTGCAGTTTGGCCAAATAAAAATAATATACAGTCATTCATATTACGACGCTCCTATTTATTTATTTGATTAATAAATAATTAATAATATATAACATTTTTGTTTTGTTTTATCAAAATGACACGTTTTAAATGATATATCCTATTTTATTTATGGATGTTCAATCCTCGGATTTTTATATTCACAGCAAACCAAGATTTTCCCGGTCTCAAACCTAAATCTAGCAGTATTTTACAATTCAATTATTTAAACATAAGCTAGAAACAAGGGCGTTGCATTTTTAAAATGTATGTTCCTAGGGCTACAAAAAAGTATAAGTAATTTGGTGAGTTAAAATCAAAGCCCAAGGCTGTCTAAAAGTTTGATGAAGAACTTTCAGAGTTCTCTAATCACTATTTGTCTATTCATTTATTGATTAATTTGAACTATATTTTTGTTCTAGGAAAAGATATCTCGGACGGGACGTATATCATGCTCAAAGATATTTACTCCGCGGCATATTGGAGACGCTGTGAAAACTACTTTTAAAAAACGACCAAACAACAAGGTACAGTACGCCACAATAAACATGGGCATTGAGAGACAGCTTTTTATTTTTACCTTCACAAAATTGATGAAGATATTGAGAAAGATGTGATCCCTTCCTTGGAGCTATAGTTTTTCCTTTGAAATGAATCCCTGTGCGAAAATTCCGGGTTAATAAATATTAAATTTTGTATCCTTCTCTTAACTGATTTTTTTAGAAATCAAAACTGAGATAGAAAGTTGTCTTCGTTCAATAAATCTAAACGACAACCACTATTTATTATATTTTGCTTTCTAATGAGAGATGATCCTGTTAAAATAAACATATTCTTAAATGTGCAGTTCTTCTTAATCTTGATTTGGGTTTTAATCTTGCCACTCCAATCTTTTAAATTAAACTATTAAGATATATTAAAATTTTTGGAGAATGTATATCTTAATGAAAATAATGATTTTTTAGAGGATGTATATCTTAATGTTAATAATGATTTTTTAGAGGATGTATATCTTAATGTTAATAATGATTTTTTAGAGGATGTATATCTTAATGTTAATAATGATTTCTTAGAGGATGTATATCTGAGTGTTAATAATGATTTTTTAAAGGATGTATATATTAATGTTAATAATGATTTTTTAAAGGATGTATATCTTAATGTTAATAATGAATTTTAGAAGATGTATATCTTAATGTTAATAATGATTTTTTAGAGGATGTATATCTTAATGTTAATAATGAATTTTAGAGGATGTATATCTTAATGTTGATAATGATTTTTTAGAGGATGTATATATTAATGTTAATAATGATTTTTTAAAGGATGTATATCTTAATGTTAATAATGAATTTTAGAAGATGTATATCTTAATGTTAATAATGATTTTTTAGAGGATGTATATCTTAATGTTAATAATGAATTTTAGAGGATGTATATCTTAATGTTGATAATGATTTTTTAGAGGATGTATATCTTAATGTTAATAATGATTTTTTAGAGGATGTATATCTTAGTGTTGATAATGATATTTTAGAGGATGTATATCTTAAGGTTGATAATGATTTTTTAAAGGATGTATATCTTAAGGTTGATAATGATATTTTAGAGGATGTATATCATAAGGTTGATAATGATTTTTTAAAGGATGTATATCTTAATGATAATAATGATATTTCAGAGGATGTATATCTTAATGTTAATAATGATTTTTTAAAGGATGTATATCTTAATGTTAATAATGAATTTTAGAGGATGTATATCTTAATACTGATAAAGATTTTTTAGAGGATGTATTTCTTAATGTTGATAATAATTTTTTAGAGGATGTATATCTTAATGTTGATAATGATAATTATTTAGAGGATGTATATCTTAATGTTGATAATGATTATTTAGAGGATGTATATCTTAATGTTGATAATGATGATGCTAGTCCTGGTAATATCATTCCTGGGCGAGCATAGTTTTCAGGTAATGAATTACTGTCAACTCTGACCGTTTTTTTTTTGTAAAGATAATTTGAACCTTAATCAACAGATCCCAAAGGCAGGAACTAGATTTAATGAAAAGCAAAATGTAGCTGACCCTCGCTGACGCAGTTCAGCCACTTTTCTTGTGAACCGGTTTAAGTTGAAGAGAAGTGATTGAACCACGTACGTTTGAGCACTTCAACCATGTCTCCCTATTCATGAAACATAGGCCTAGGTAGAACAGTGTTAGGCTAATCCGCTAGGAAATAGGGCTCCATGAAGGACGGTTTAGATCGCATTCTCTTCATAAAAACATTAACTAGAATTGTGTTTTTGTACATATTTTACAAGAGATTTTAGGAGAGCTTATGAATTAGTATCAAGGCAATAATAAAGCATGCAAGCAAGGGTTTAAACTTTCCTGTGTAGAGCAAGAGGTCCGCGCATGTCATAAAACATTATCCCATGTTGTAAGAAATAAACTAATTTTAAGCTTTTTTAATACATCAAACTCTCCACCTTTCATTTCTTATTTTTAGTCTTATTTTTATATTTAGCTTATGTACACAAAACGATATTTTGAGTGGAATGGAAGCGATTATATCTGGTTTGATACAACACGATCTCTCATCAGTAGCTTTGGTCTAATCCTTCTCCTACCTCTGTTTAAACACTTTAACCTTCATGATACTGTTATCATTATCATAGCTACACTCTCATCTATCAGTGGAGCTCTCGTCAAAGCATTCTCACAAGGGGTAATTATCATAATAATAATAATAATAATAATAATAATAATAATAATATAAAACAAAGTTCATGAAATAAAATTTATATTGTAATTATTTGTAATTACTAGAAAGGATGGATGTTCTATATATCAGCAGCATTAGAAATTGTAAGCTCTCTACATGGCCCTCCGATCAGGTCACATTGATTTAACGGTTCGGTGCTTTTCCCGTCAATAATAGACCAATTAAACATAAATATTTCGTTATTCTTGTATCTGGTTTTGTCGGCGAATACTTTTAAACGAAAAAGAGTTTTTAAGATTGTTTGATTAAAAACTTGAACGGGGATTGGATTGAAAATAAAGAAACCAAACTCATCTAAGCCTGGTTTCTTTTTTAAACGGTTTTAGACCTCATGAACAACATGGCACACAATTGATGTATTGATCTGGTTAAAAATATTATTGATCAATTCATTTTTTTGATCATTTGAACACAATTCATCTGATTGATCAATTAATCTTGTTGATCGATTTATTAATTCTGGTTGATCAATTCATCTTGTTGGTCGATTTATTAATTCTGGTTGAACAATTCATCTTGTTGATCAATTTATTAATCTTTAAGATTGATGAGTTCATTAAATTGATTATCATAAAATTATCAATTATTTACCTTAAGCTGAAATGTTGTGCTGTGAAGGAAACAGGAAAAATGTTTATTATTTATCTAGAGCTGAAATTTTGTGTTGTGAAGGAAACAGGGAAAATGTTTAATATTTATCTAGAGCTGAATTGTTGAGATCGATGCTCTGAAGGAATCAGTAAAAAAATTTAATATTTATCTAGAGTTAAGATGCTGAGATCTATGCTCTGAAGGAAACAGGAAAATGTTAATATTTATCTAGAGCTGAAATGTTGAGATGTTGTGCTCCAGAGGAAACAGGAAAACTGTTTAATATTTATCTAGAGCTGAAATGTCGAGATGTTGCGCTCCAGAGGAAACAGGAAAAATGTTTAATATTTATCTAGAGCTAAAATGTTGAGTTGTTGCGCTCCAGAGGAAACAGGAAAAATGTTTAATATTTATCTAGAGCTAAAATGTTGAGTTGTTGCGCTCCAGAGGAAACAGGAAAAATGTTTATTATTTATCTAGAGCTAAAATGTTGAGATGTTGTGCTCCAGAGGAAACAGGAAAAATGTTTAATATTTATCTAGAGCTGAAATGGTGAAATGCTGTGCTCCAGAGGAAACAGGAAAAATGTTTAATGTTTATCTAGAGCTGAAATGTTGAGATGTTGCGCTCCAGAGGAAACAGGAAAAATGTTTGCAATGCTCTCCAGTGTCGAATCCTTAGGAACAAATATCAACAACTAAGATATTACAATTTAACTATATAATGTAAATATCTAGAATAATTTTCTTGGTTTAAAATTTCGTTTGATTTAAAAGTATATATTGATTTTTTCCAAAACATTTAGTTATATCTAAATAAGAACAAAAATAAATAAATAGAATAAAAAAAACAAGAAATCTTAACCATTTAAAGAGAAAAAAAAAACAATTTCCAATTTTACTTCACAAAATCAACTGTTCCTAACCCGAATCGATATTATTGTTTTGCTTTTTAGTTCCGATTCTAGCAACAACCATATATACTCGTCTATATGATAATATGGTTACCCATAAATGGTTTTCAGGTAGGGTTTCCGGGTATATTTTCCAGGTAGGGTTTCGGGGTAGATTTTCCAGGTAGAGTTTCCGGGTATATTTTCCAGGTAGGGTTTCGGGTATATTTTCCAGGTAGAGTTTCCGGGTAGATTTTCCAGGTAGGGTTTCCTGGTATATTTTCCAGATAGAATTTCCGGGTATATTTTCCAGGTAGGGTTTCCGGGTATATTTTCCAGGTAGGGTTTCCGGGTATATTTTCCAGGTAGGGTTTCCGGGTAGATTTTCCAGGTATGGTTTCCGGGTAGATTTTCCAGGTAGGGTTTCCGGGTATATTTTCCAGGTAAGATTTCCGGGTATATATTCCAGGTAGTGTTTTCGGGTATATTTTCCAGGTAGTGTTTCCAAGTAGGGTTTCCTTGTAGAGTTTCAAGTTATAGTTTCTTGGTAGGGCTTCCAGTTACAGTTTCCGTGCAGGGTTTTCTGGTAGATATTCTAGTTAGGGTTTCTGGTGAATTTCCGGCTAAAGCTTCCGGGCAGGGTTTCCGGTGTTTTTTTCCATGTTAGGGTGTTGGGTTCTGTTTTTCGGGTAAAGTTTCTGATCAGGGGTTTCAGGTAAAGTGTCCGGTCCCATAGGGTTACTGGGCGCAGTTTCTGGGTTTTTTTCGGGTAGGGTTTAGGGGTAGTTGTTTCCGGGTAAAGTTTTGGGATAGGGTTTCCTGGTAAGGATTCCTGGCAGGAGTTTTGGTAGTGTTTTCGAATAGGATATCCGGGTAGAGTTATATAAAACCTTTAATAAAAAATATCTCAATTTATTTGGGGGAAAAATGAAATAAACTATAACTATTTGACAATGAAAATCTTAAACTTTTTTTTAGGTTTATGCTATCTTGTGTCTACAGGGTTTCATGTAGTGGGACTCATACTTGCTCTAATTATGATAGGTAACAACTTATTTTATCTTATTTTTTGCATTTTTGGTATTATTATTATTTCTGTTGTTTTTGTTATTTTTGTTAGATTTGATATAATTTGTTTAGGTGGTTTAAGATGTAAAGAAATACCATTGGAGGATTCTCAACGTAGTTTAAAAAGGTAGAAAACTTTTATTTTAAAGATAATTAATCATCATAATTGTAAAAATTTATTCTAAAATTTCTGATTTGACCAACATTTTATTGAAAAATTATCTTGTAGTTTTAGTTCTAACCCTAACCCTGAGTAATTATCCTATAGTTCTAGTTTTGAACTATCAGAAATAATGTTTAGTTCTAGTCTGTATTTATTAATTTTGAGCCGCGTCTCAAATTCGACAAAGATCGGTTTCAATTGAGCGCCGGCTTAAATCTTGAAAAATTGAATACAATTTTAAGTTGAACCAACCATATTTGAGCCGCGTCCTAAATTTAAACCGCGGCTCAAATTCTTTAAATTTGGCCTTTTTAGTTCTAGTTCTTACCTAAACTCTGATTAATTATTATTCAGTTTTAGTTCTTACCAACATTCTTATAATTTTAGTTCTACCCTAAAACCTGAGCAATTATATTACATCTTAACCCGCCCCCTGAGTAACTATCCTGTAATGCTAACCTATACCCTGAGTAACTATCCTGTAATGCTAACCTATACCCTGAGTAACTATCCTGTAATGCTAACCTATACCCTGAGTGACTATCCTGTAATGCTAACCTATACCCTGAGTAAAAATCTAACAGTTGTTGTTTTTACCTAAGTTTCATCCCATAGCTCTTACTTAAACATGAACCTGAGTAATTATTAATCCATAATTTTGATTTATTTAATTTATTTTTTGCCTAGATTAAACTCTAATTTGCACCCGGATAACATGAAGTTTAGAGATCATAAACAAGAGATATTTCTTCAATCCTTCAGACCACTAGATTTCTAAACCGTTACACCTCATATATATATTTACATGCAGGGTGACCCAATAAGCATGGGAATTGAGAGCTGACTTACGCACTGCAAAGAAAATTTTAAAAAAATAACGCTGTATGTCTAGCGAGCTTTTCATAATGTGGTCTGTCTACCTTTCTTGTACCGAAAAATTAACGAGGATATTAGATATTAAGACATTATAAGATATATAAGATATTAAGTTGATTTATTTAATAATTGAATTTTTGAAAATTTCGCAATATCTCCGTCAATTTTGAAAATAAAATCATATTTTGAAAATCTCCAGACCAGTCGATTTCGAAATTATACAGGGTGAGTCAAAAAAAGTGTGATTAGTGGCGCCTGGTGCAAATTCGTACCTTTTTTTCAACTCTCCTGTAAGATGTTTTTTCAATATTTTTAAAACATTTTTTATTTTTTTTTTGGTATACATAAAAAATCCGTGAACCTTTTTTTTCTCAAAATCGAAAGTTTAGAAAAGCAAAAATGTGTATATAAATTGTTTCTATCAAAATCTAAAATCTATTGAAGATTCTGTGATTCAATCTTTATAAAATTTTAGATTTCGATTGAAGTAATTTATATACACATTTTTGCTTTTCTGAACTTTTGATTTTGAGAGAAAAAAAGGTTCACGGATTTTTTTTGGCAAATGGAATACCAAAGAAAAATTAGAATTTTTATAAAATATTGAAAAAACACCATACAGTAGAGTTGCACAAAAAAAGGTACAATTTTTCACCAGGTTCCGGTATTCACACTTTTTTCTGACTCACCCTGTATGATAAAGCTGGAATACTGCAATGATTGTGTTCATGAAAAAAGGCTGCATGGGTCGAAGACGATTTTCATTTAAAGTCGTCACTGAATTCCCATGTTTGTTGGGACACTCTGTATAACACTGTGATAAATGATAAACGAAACCAAAAAGATCTGTAAAAGTAATCAATCTGAAAAGTGATGAAAATAATTACTTTCACAAAAAAAATTAAAGTAGCCACGTGAAAATATTTGAAATCCATAAAAATTGACATTTTCAACAAGAAACATAGACAAGAAATTAAATCTTTAAGTTATTATAATATTATAACATATTTTTTTACTGAAATTTTGTTGTCCAACAAAACATAGTTTTAGGACAAACTTTTGTATATGAAGATATATGACATCATAAAATAATATTTCAAAAAAATATATTTAGTTATTAAATAAATATTGTTAATGGATTCATGTTTTTTTTTCTGTGCATACACTTTTGACTGACCTGTTGAGGAATTTTATAAATTTACGAAAAAGGAATTGAGTCTTTGTCCCAAACTCTTATTTTCTAATCGCTGTATCTTTGCAACCCAATGTCGTAGACTTTAGGTATAATTTAGAATATGAAATCTGTTAAATCAAAGAATCGAAATTTGAAATATTCAAGGTTTACATCATCAGGTTGCAAAGATACAAAGATATAAGGGTTATAAAGGAAATGAGTTTTTGTCACAAACTCAGATTTTCTAAACTGGATAGTGTAAAACTATGATATTTCAAACTCAAATTATTTGATCTACCAGTATTCATAGTTTGAAATATCTAAGGTCTACGACATTGGGTTGCAAAGTTATAACGATAGAAAAATTTTAGTTTGTGGCAAAGACACAATTCCTTTAAGTTTGTGGCAGAGACTTAATTCCTTTATGTCACCTACTCTTTTCTCTCTGAACATTTGCTTTATAACGTAATTTGCTTTCTTAACCATCTGCTCTTATAATTTGCTCAATAAATATAACGTAATTTGCTTTCTTAACCATCTGCTCTTATAAATTGCTCAATAAATATCTGCAGAAAGTATCGTGAAACTATGATGTAATCATAATTGTCAATGTAGTTGATTGTTAATATAGAGCTTTACCCATCAAGAAAACAAGCGAAGAAACTCTTAAAATTTGTTTATAGAGAAAATGACATGTTTAGTCAATGGCCATAGAGCAAACGGTAATAGAGCATAATTCGTATAGCTGGTATTTTCAATTCAAAAATACCTTAAATGAAACTGATAACCGCACTATACGATAGGCACAGACTAACCAAACTGCTCATATGCTCTACCTAGATAAGCTGAGCAACAGTTACATGAAAGATTTTTGACTACTATCTAACAGCCACTTGTTGCAAATTCAAAGAAATACTAGAATATTGATCTGAGGATACGTGAGGTTAAGATAATGCCTCTAGTCAAGTAATCTGTTCTAAGCAATAAACATTTTATTCTTGAATTCTGTAAATATTTGTAGTAATTATCTACATGCACTTGTAGATAGTAGATAGTAGATAGTAGATAGAAGATAGTATATAGATAGTAGATAGAAGATAGAAGATAGAAGATAGTAGATAGTAGATAGTGGATAGTAGATAGTAGATAGTAGATAGTAGATAGTAGATTGTAGATAGTAGATAGTAGATAGTAGATAGTTTTTATTTAAAATAATCAAAAATATCAAAATCATATTTTCTAAACAGTTAAAACAACAATTATTTTCTCCAATTCCGTTCTATTCCGTTTCTAAGTACATAAAGAAACAATGCAGCTGGTCAGAACTGGGCTAGCTGGGCTGCTTTTCTCCATTTGCAAAATAAGAAAATAAAAAATATTTAGTTGCAGTGTTGTAGAGCGTTGTTTAGTGATCTTGGCCTGATATATAAATTCGAGGATTGTGCTTTCCATCGTTCCGATCCTCACTCCCCCCCCCCCCCTCCGTAAACTCAGATGTTACGATATTCGTCCTTGCTCCGACACGTACAATAATTTAATCTCCGATCCTTGTATCTGTCCTAACTTTGACACGTAAAGCTTATAAATATATATATTCTTAGATCCTGATGTTCGTCATTTTCCGACACTCATAATCTGCGATTTTTACATCCGTCCTTGCTCCGACACGTAAATAATAGTCTCCGATCCTTAAATACGTCCTTCCTCTGAATTATATACGCAGAATAACTAATCCTTATATCCGTCCTTACTCCGACACTTAACTCATAATCTGTAATTTTTACATCCGAATTTGCTCCAACAACTTATAGTCTCCGATCCTTATATTCGTCCTTTATACTCCGACGCCTAAAATCATAAATTCTTAATATATTTTGTAAATGCTCCAACTCAAAGCTCAGTTCAAAGAATTTGTTTTTTCCGATTCCTAAATGCGTTCCTGCGCCTACCCATAAATTACATTTCAATGTCAGCTACTATTCCAGTATCACAGTGACCTTAAATGTCCTCACGTGAAACCTTCACAAGATTTGACCAACTACTCCTTCATAATTAAGCTAAAAAATATGTAATTTTGGGGCTGAATGTAGTAAATACCGTACTCTTAAAACTTTGTCCCGAACTGTATCAATCCAGGTTCAACTCAATCGTATTTTACTATCAATGTCGCCTATCAAATCAATGCCAAATCAATGGGCACAATCTTGTCAGCTCTGAATGTCAATACAGACACAAGCTAGAAATCTATCAATGCCAAACCAATGGGCACAATCTTGTCAGCTCTGAATGTCAATACAGACACAAGCTAGAAATCTATAAATGCCAAACCAATAGGCACGATCTCAAGTTGTATGTTTCAACAAGAACCAAACTACTCTCAACACTGTAATAAAAGCGGAGTCTCTATATCAACTCATTTATTTTAGATATCTTATGTTACAAGTTAACGTAAATCAACGTAATTACAAGTTCTATGTTGATATATATAAATAGATACAGCTTAGTTTAAGTTTACTGTACGTATCTATAAGATTAGCTAGGATAGATTTAACTTAGTTAAGCTATCTCCACACATATTTACAGTGTTGTTTAAGTTGACTGTACGTATTTAAAAAGATTAACATGGATGGATATAAACGTAGTTAATCTAATCACAATGTATTATTTAATCATATTACGTAGACTAATATATCTAGGTATGTTCTGGTTAACAAATATGGGGATTATTGTATTTATTGCATGCAAACAAGTAAAAGTATGTTGGTAAGATCAAACCAAGGGGATAGGACACTTTAAATTACCCTTATTCTTAATAGTAGATGCATAACTTTCATTTAGCTGTTTGGATTGCTATAGTACCCCAATGGACAACCCCAATGTTCAAATATTTACAAATCCATTCTTTGAACCATACTATTATCCATTTATTTATATTAAACGTTTTGTCTACCCCCAATACCTGGAGCTACGATCTGAGCTGTGTACAGTGCTTGTCAGGATACAGGATACATCCTAGACTCCTAGATCTGCTAGAGCTCCGGGCCCAGTTCTCATCTAGGCCTCAAAACTCAACATTGTTTAGAAAGTCAGAGTTTTAGCTAATCTAAACGATCTCGAGTCTTAATATCAGTCATAATATCTAGATCTTAATCTAATTCGTAATAAATATATATGTGAATAATATCACCATGAGAAGAGCATAAAAATTAGATTGAAATAAATGTCATAATTGAATTTCTTCATTAATTTAATAATTTATTTTCATACAACGTCGCATTGAAAAAAACTTTGAAAATCACTCCCGAAGATTGCATATTTTAATAGTATTTATTACATTTTAGGACACCATTTTCAAGCATAAACGTGAATAGGTTGACGTGTCTTGGGTAACCTTCTTTACCTAGGCGTACAAATGCATGTATTATGTACTGCAAATATTTGTTTTGCATGTATTATGTATTGCAAATATTTAAAAACAAAATTCATTAAGTTTTTATCCTATCAGTAGAATCTACAAGAAAAAAAAAAAAAAATATATCAGACGAAAAAAAAATCTTAGGGAGTAGTTTTTCAGCTTCGTCTGAACCCCTTTTTCAGATGAGCCGTGAAGAATGTTAATTGAACCAATATACGATGATCCTTCCTCTTACCAGGTATATTTTACAATGATTGTTCTGTAAATCTTTCGGATCTTAGTAAAATGTTAGTTAAGAAACAAATTAAATATTTTAATGTCCCATTGGACCATGCATGGAAAGTTCCGGTTTTACAAGAACTTTTAGATACAGGGTGTCCCACGAAACATGACAGTATGCAGGACGACTTGAATGTCGTCTTGATTTTTGATATAATTTGCTGCGTTTATTTGTCAACCTAATCTTAGAAGTAAATTTCTAGAGATAATATTCACAAAATTCCCCTAGTCCTGCCATTTCCAAAATGTGGTCTGCCTTTTATATATATATATATAT